CTCACAAGACATGGAGAGATAGAAGACACCCTGAAGAATATTCTTCCAGCATTAACGTGTTCTCACCACTATTACTCAGAAATTAATGTATTCAGTTAGAGATTTGATTTAGGGACACCTGGGTAGCTCATTCGGTTAAACTTCCAAGGCTTTGGCTTAAGTCACAATTTCAGGTTTGAGTGCTACGTCAGGCTCCAGGCTCAGTGGGAAGGCTGCTTGAGATTCTCCCTCTCCCTTTGCCCCTCCTCCCGCTCATGTTTGCTCCTCTCAAATCTTTTTAAAAAAAGAGACTTAATTTCATTCTTTCAATATTAATATATTCACAGTATTATTTATATGTTATATATTTTGCAGATTGTTTTAACTTTTTATACCATGCAAATGCCTAAAATGACATGAAAACTATAGTCAGTCAGTCCCTTCTATATTGAAAGCCAAGAATGTTCAATTTACTCATTGGCCATGGAATTGAAAAGGCAATGAAAAATATTCTATGATAAAGAATTTTTGCAAAGTTTCTTACAATGTTAATGAAACTAAAGAATTATAATGTTAGGGTGCTAGGGAGTTATAACTAAAAATACATATTACACGTAGGGGATTTTTTTCCAGTCTATCGGAATATAATTTATATACAGTAAAATAAAAAACCAGTTTAAGTTCACAACTTGATGAGTTTGACAAACGTTTAAACTGCGTAATAACTTCTGCAGTCATGGTAGGAATATTGCCATCATCCCCAAAGTTCCCTCCTGTCTCCTTGCAATCATTCTGTTCCTCTAGTCTAATCATTAATATGTCTCCTCACACTACTTTTTGCCTTTTCTAGAATACTGTGTAAATGGAACTGTACACTAGGTAATGTTTTTTGTTTGGCTTTTTTTCTTTTATCTTAACATCATGATCTTGAGGCTTATCCATGTGTATGTATCAGTAGTTCATTCCTTCTTACTGTGAGTCTGTTGCATTTTATGAATGTACCACTCTTTGTTTATCCATTTACCTATTGACAGCAAATCGGATTGTTTCTAGTTCGGGGCTCTTCTGAGTTAAGCCCTGTGAAAATTTCAGTAAAATTCTTTGTTGAAGATATGGTTTTCTTAGGTAAATACCCATCAGTGAGATTGTTGTGTTGTATGTAAGTGTCTGTTTGACATTATAAGAAATTGCTCACCTGTTTACTAAAGTGGCTGTATATTCTTCAGCAGTGTCTCCGTGTTCAGTTGCTCCACATCTTTGTCAACACTTGGTATTTTCAGTCTTTAATTTTAACCATTCTAATAGATGTGGACCATTACCTCTTTGTGGTTCCAGTTTGCTCTTTTCTGATGACTAATGATGTTGGGTGCCTGTTCTTTGATAGTCATATATATTCTTTGATGAAATATTTCTCAAGGCTTTTTGCCCATTTTAAAAGTGTTGTCTTATGACATTGTAAGAGGTTTTTTGTTATATTTTAATACTTATATATTTTAATGTAGATTCCTAAGTGTATTTTAATATAATTTATATTGCCAGTCCTTTAACAGATAAATACTCTGTAAATAATTTCTCCCAGTCTGTGGTTTGCCTTTTCATTTTCCTAATAGTGCCTTTGAAGAGAAAAAGACTTTAATTTTGACATAGTTTTATCAGAATTTTTACGTGTGCAGAGAAATCTTTGCCTGACCCAAGAATAAAAAATATTCCCCTATGTTTTCGTCTAGAAGTTTTGTAGTTTTAACTTTAATATTTAGGTATATTTTTAGTTGATTTTTATAATCGATATAAGATTTGAGGGAGACTTGTTTTTTGTTTGCCTGTGGACATCCAGGTGTTGCAGGATTATTTGTTCAAAAGACTGTTCTTTTCCTTGTGAGAATACCGCTTGGCATCTTTTTTTTTTCTTTTTTCTTTTCTTTTTTCTTTTCTCTTTCTTTCTTTCTTTCTTTCTTTCTTTCTTTCTTTCTTTCTTTCTTCTTTCTTTCTTTCTATTTATTTTATTGGAGAGAGAGAAACAGAGGTAGTGTGAGAGAGCATGAGCAGAGAGGAGAAGGAGAATCAGGCTTCCTGCTGAGCAGGGAATCCCATGTGGGGCTTGATCCCAGGACCCAGAGATCATGATCTGAGCCAAAGGCTTAACTGACTGAACCACCCAGGTGCCCCTGCCTTTTTAAAGATTTGTTTATCTTATTGGAAAAAGACAGAGAGAGAGAAAGACAGTGATAGTGAGAGAGAGCATGAGTGGAGAGGAGAGGGAGAAGCAGTGGAATACCACTAGGCTTTTTTGTAAGATATCAGCAGGCCATATCTGTGAAGGTCTGTGGATTCTCTCTTGTTCCACTGATCTGTATGTCTGTCTTTATACCAGTACCACACTGGTTTGTTGATTGTACGTTTTATAGTAAATCTTAGAATCAAGTAGTGATTGGGGAGAATTCACAACTTAACAGGACTGAATTTTCTTATGTATAAACATAATGTTTCTGTGTATTTAAGCGTGCTTTAATTTTCCTCATCATGTTTTTTAGTTTCTAGAGTACAAGTCTTGTCATGCTTTCTCAATTATTTTAAATTAATGCTTTTGTAAATGGCATTACTTTTATTTTTAATTTTTAAAAATAATTCACTGCTAATACACAGAACTAGTGTTGTTTTTTTATGTATATGTATCTTGCAACTTTGCTAAACTGACTTATTCTAGCAGTATTTTTGTAGATTCCTTAAGATTTTCTACATAGGCAATCATGCTCATGTCTATGAATAAAGTTTTACTGCTTCCTTTCCAAACCTATGCAGTTTTCTTTTTCTGCTTTACTATATTGGCTAGAAACTCATACAGTGTTGAATAAAAGTGTGGAGAATGGACATTCTTGCCTTGTTCTTGATCTCAGAGCAAGAGCATTTAGTCTCTAGCCATTAAATGTGATGTTAACTTGTAGGTGTTTTTGTTTTAAATAGATACCCTTTATTCAGGCTGAGGAATTTCCTTTCTGTTTCCAATGTTCTAGGAGTTTTATCATGAATAGATATTGACTTTTGCCAGACAGTTTCCTATATTCCTTGATAATTATTAATTTGTGGAGTTTTTGGTCTGTTAATAAATTGATTTTGTTCAACATTCCTGGGATGAACTTGGTCATGACAACTTGATCTTTTTTCTGTGTTGCTGGCTGGATTCCATATCTTAGTTTTAGCTTAGGATTTCACGTCTCAGTTCCTGAGGGTTATTGATTTATAGTTTTCTTACAATTGTCTAGTTTTGGTGTCAAGGTGATGCTGGACTCCTAAAAAATGAGCTGTATGTTGTTCCATCCTCTTCTATTTTGTGCAAGAATTTGTGTAGAATTGGTATTATTTCTTCTTTAAATGATTGGTGGCGTTCACCACTAAAGCCTTTTGGGCCTGGAGATTTCCTTATAGGAAAGTTTTTAATTAAATTCAGTGTCTTTGATAGAATAAGGGTATTCATATTTTCTTTATCTTCTTGAGCAAATTTTGGTAGTTTGTGTTTTCCATGAAATGTTTCCATTTATTCCAACTTGTTGAATCTGTTACAGTAATGTTCACAGTATCCCTTTGTTATCCTTCCATTGTCTGTAGGATCTGTCTTAATTCCTGATACTGGTAATTTTTAACTTTCGTTCTTGGTCAGTCTAGCTAGAATTTTACTGATACCATTCAATGATCTATCTCTTCAGAGAACCAGCTTTTGGGTTCATTGATTTTATTTTTCTGTTTTCTATTTCATTGATATCTGTTCTGTGTTTTCTTTATCCTATTTGCTTTGAGATCGTCTGTCCTCGTTTCTAGTTTCTTAAGGTAGAAGCTTAGATTATTGGTTTGAGACCTTTCTTTTTTTATATAGGCATTTAATGTTATAAATTTTGCTCTAAACATTGTTGTAGCCTTGTCTCACAAATTTTTACATGTGATGTTTGAATTTTTGAGTTTGGGGTATTTTTCTGATATTTAACTTAACTACAATGATTCCTGAAGGTTTCTTCTTTGATTCATGGATTTTTTAATAAGTTTTTGCGTGTTGTTTTGTTTTTTAAATCTTTGTGGTTTTTCCAGGTAACTTCTTATTTTGGTTTCTCATTTTTATATTGTTGTGGTCAGAGTGTGTATGTAATAAGATTTTAATCCTCAAATATGAGACTTCTTTTATGCCACAGAATATGGTGTGTCTTGGTGAATGGTCCGTGTGTACTCAAAAAGAATGTTTATTCTGCTATTGTTGGGTGAATTGCTCCGTATGTATTGGTTGGATCAAAGTTGTTGGTAATATTTTTCAGGTTTTCTGTGTCCTTACTCATTCTCTATTTTATCAATTACGGGGAGAGGACTGTTGAAATCTCATGGTAAATTGAAAAATTATATTATTTTAAATTTAATGAAAGCAGATAGTTATGATGTTAATAAGCTTACTGAGAGCTGTAAAGGCTGAATTTGTTCTTAATTATTTTAAGGGAGTGTTCTCTTCGTAATGTGCTTCAGATCCCCATAGACTTGTTTTCCATTTGCCAGTCCTGTCATTTACTACCTCAGCAACCCTGCTGAGTATAGTTATTCTTTGGATAAAGGTAATACAGAACAGACTTACTATAGCTATTGTGGGCATTAAATTCATAATTAATTCCATGGAATTCTTAACCTGATCCCCAGCGGATAGTAACTCTGGGATAAATAGAAATTATTTTTGTATTTTTTTTAATTTCAGAGATAAAATAGTATTTTATCTTTGATGCATGTCATTTTTTTTTTTATTTCACCTTTGGCTTGCACCAGGTCTTCCTCTTTATTTTTTTCTGTTGCTTTTATTGGAGCCTTAATTGAATGTAGTGTGCCTTGATTATATAGTGAAAAGGATTTTTTTGTTGTCATAATTTTACTTGCTTTACAATAACGTATTAAAGAAAAAGGTAGGAATGTTGCTAATAGATGCAGTTGCAGCAGCTATAAAATCATCACACATTACTTCACTGTCTGAAAGTCAATCTCTTCTTTTTTTCCTTCAGATAAACCGAGAAAGCTGGTGTACGATAAAGCCATGCCCTGATGCAACGTCTCTTTTGGCTCCTGCACAAAGCCCAGGTAAGCAGGGATCTTCCAGCTTCCAGTTGTTTGAAGAACTGCATTTAAAGTGTCTATTTTTGCACTGTAGCCCCCTTCTAATTACAGACTGTTTTTCGGAGATGTGTCCTTCCTTCCCGGGCCATGCAGTAAGTCAGAAGAGGAGTATATGTGATTTGGGCTTGTAGGCATTTTGTCTCAACTGAGAATGAGTAGAGTCATATAATTACCTAAATTTCATCTTAGTAGTGAGTCATCACCTGTGGCTTTCTGACTTACCACTTCTGTGAAGGCATTTATGCTGTGCACATGCATATGATCATGGTTTCTCCAGTCCGGTAAAACTCTAAATATTTATTAATAAGAAGTAAACCTGTGGCCCTCAATTTTGGCTGCACATTGAAATTATCTGGGGAGCGTTAGAAATCTGCTGCCTGGGTCCTGCTCCCAGAGACTGATTTCACTGGGTCTGAGGTGTGAGCTGGGCCTCAGAATCTTTGAAAGCTCTTTTGGCGATTCCACTGCACAGTCATGATTGAGAACCAGAAACTTTGGAAGTATCATCAGCAATTGAGCCTTTCCTGAAGCATCCATGAGGTATTAGTAGCAACAGGGGAGGGTCAGCTGCTTAGACATGGCTTCTTAATGACACAGCATATGATTTATGGGTAATAAAGATGCCTAACTTTTTACCCAGGTTTAGCCACTAATTTTCAGTGATATAAAGAAAGTTCCCTAATGTCTGTGCACTCCATTGTCTTGCATCACTAACTCTCCTCACTAGGGGGTGTTGCCTGAATGACATGGTGCATACCACTCAGGCTCTGTGCCTGGTGGTAATGTGTACCCTGGGCCCTTGAGTTGACTTGACTGAGCAATACCTCTGTTTACCTTCACAAGTTTTACTGACCTGGTTTAAAATGACTGAGTGACTGATCTTTATAGAAACAGTTTAGCTGTGGATGTCCTGCCTTTATATTAAACTTAAAGACAACTGTCCAAATCCTTTATCTCCAGGAGGTTTCCTGCTGATTTTCGGCTCTCAGACTTTACTCCCCAGGAAGTGTTGGAGACAAATACGAGTGTTGGAGAAAATTCTTCTCTAGTTTTCTCTCTCATAGAGAATATTATGCTGTAGTTGTGTTTAGGGCTCAGCACGTAAGAAGATTGAGTCTCCTCACAGATGTAGCTGACCCTTTCACCCCACCCTGCCCCCTAGAATCTTCTACTTAAAAGTATACTACTTACCATATCTTGGTTCCTGGAGCTGTTTGGGGCATTTTCTGAAAGTATAATTACTCCCAATCACCCAAGCAGTGAAACTGTAAAGGTTAAATGTGGGAAGTTTCTTCTCATGCTCAAGTTTAATTTACTCGTTTAAAGAAATGAATTTTGAATCCCTGAGCATTTTCCTGAGGACATCCTCTTCAATTTTGTTGACACCTCCTTTCCATGCTCCAAACCCCAAGCAGAACTGCTTTGGTCTTTTTAGAGTGAGTTGTTGTTTGTTTGTTTGTTTTTAAACTCTCTGTGTAGCAACATCTAAGATCTGGATTATGCTTTGGAGCTTCAGATCTGAGTTTTTTTTTTTTATCATAGGTCAGTTTTTTGGTGAATTCTGAGTCCTTTGGATCTTGGAGATTTCATTTGCGTTATATAAACATGGCTCAAGAGAGAATAGTGTAAAACCAAGTAAGATAATGTGTTTTAAAATCACTATGGATAGTCTTCCATTCTGGATAAATACAAACTTTTCTAACTACAAATAAATAAAAATACAGTATGATTAGCATGGCTTAGCAAACCCCATTGGGCACTGCTGGTCACCTTTCCTACCTTTACCTGCTATAATTCATTTGCAAATGTGTAATTTTAGACCCAAATAACTAGAGAGCATCTTTAAAATGACATGTTTTGCTAGCTTTTAAAGAAGCTAATGTCTCAGGACACAAAAGTTTATAGGCAGATTTATACAGGAGTCATAAAGCAGGGCTGGCCCACGTCAAGGTAATGTCCTTACCCAGATAGTTGTTAAATCACAGTATCGGTTAATAATGAAGTCGTAACTTCATTAGGTGTGTTTATCACACACCTGCTGTGTGCGAAGGGCAGAGTTCTGTTACTGTTTTATAAATTCTTTCTGTCACTCCCAACTATTTTAGGGAAATACTAATCATCCCATTTCACTGGTGTGGAAATGAAGACTTTTAAGGGTTAAATGACTTCTTGCCTGGGATCTTTCTACTAAAAGTAGGCAGATCTATATTTAAGCCAGACAGTTCTGACTCCAAACCCTGTGAGTGCTCATTGTTCTTGCTTACACCTTCCTGTGTTGCTGCCCTTGGTTCATTAGGAAGAGGGCCTGTAAGAAGGCATGCCACAGGGGGAGATGAGCTTTAGGGAGGATGAGTCTTATAGGGCCCCTCCGTTTTTGGGGTTTCACAGTGGCTCATAGTCATTCCCCCTCTTGTTCCCAATTTTCATACTGTTCTACACACACACACACACACACACACACACACACACACTCAACACTTAGGATTATATCACACAGCAGAGTCTTAGCCCAGTTTGACTTGTGATCCCTTGTAGTGCTGGCTCGAATTTATTTTCTGGGTGAGCTGTTCCTACCATGGCTGTGTCTGGATCTTCCCTGTGAATTTTCCATTAGAATGTCTTGAGTTGGTTTGTTTTCCAGTCTGGAATTTGGACGTGGTTTGTTGGACTGCCAGCTGGACAGCCAGCGGCTCAGCATAGTTGCTGTGACAGCCCTTTCTTTTCTTGGCCAGCACCCTGTTTTCCCCTCAACCATGAAACAGAGTTTTTAATTTTTTCCAAGTGGGGAAAGGGGGAGAAGTAGAAAGGTCACACCCACAAACTCCACCTAGATTAGTACGTACTCTGCGAAATTGGGGTGGGGGAGGCAGGGGGTAGTCCAGAATACCCATGATTTCCAGGCTTTTAAAGGCAGGGCTATTCCCATTGAACAGAACACTCAAATAGTTTAACCAAGATTGAAATGGACTAAGGTCATTTGTTTTCTCTTTAATTGAAACATTTTCAGATTAATCTCTGGTCCCTGCCTTGCTGCTGGTGGCATCTTTTGTGTAGTTCTGTCTTGAAATTGTCTCTTAATATGTCCTTTTCTACAAGGTTGTAAACTACGCCACACACATACACAAACACTAAATATCTCATTTTATGTGGCTAATCTCCCAGTACCTAGTCAAATACCTATCTGACAGAAGACGTGATTTTATGGACAGGCAACTCATGCATGACCTATATACCAATGCAATGCTTCTTTGACTCTTCCTCTAAGATTCCCAGCTAATACAGGGCAAATACTTTATTAATGATCAATAATTAGCTAGTTCAGAAAGGAAAAACTACTTCTCATTATCTCTCATCCCACACATGCACAGTTATTGTCCAAACATAGACCCTGAGAGTTAAGAGACATTGTGGGTTATCTAATCTCCACTTCCCTTCTCTGTATACATCTTTTCTGAAACCTCTTGACAAAGTCATTCAGCCTTTTTCCACCCCTTCTGGTGAAGTGACAGTGGTTACTTTATAAAACTGCCAACCCATTGCCAGAAGCCTAGTTAGAGCAAAGCTCTGTGGCTTCCACTCAGTGGCCTTTTTGTTCTGCCCCTGGAACGGCACAAGCTCCTGTGCAAACCACTTGGATTTCAGGTGTTTCCACTGTTGTGACCTCATCACCATGCATACATTTCTGTTTGTCAGTGTTTTAATTTAATGTTACCTAGGGACAAACATAATCCTGTGGGTGCGGTCTAGCTGTCACGTAATGGCAAGACTGTCCCCATTTTGGACTTGGGTATGCTGTCTATTAATAGTGTCTAAAACCACCAATGTTTTTTGTTTTGATATTACCCTGTATTGTCAGCTCCTCTTGAATCTGCTTTCAACCAAAACTTGTGGGTAGAGTTCTCATGAACTGCTAGGTGACCATATCCCTTGTGTCCGTTGTGTCCCTTGTCACTTAGTATCCCCTGCAGAGTTGATATATGTCTGTTTGAATTCCATATAAAAATGCTAACTGGAATGGAAATGCTTCACCCTCCGGACTTCACAAATGAGATTGATATCTACCTACTAAACGACTTTCTTTGGGCTCTTGGTTTTACCACATACAGATATTTTTAATTCTTTTGTTACCAGGTCATATGTCCCTTTTGTTTACAGAATTAATAGGAGAGAATGGGTTAAATACCTTGCTAATTTCAGTGTACTAAGTGTTAGAATTCCTTGATATATGGCCTAACATTTCTGTCCAGGCTTCCTCTGTTTGATTTACCAGAGTCCCTGTGCTAGTTACTGAACTGAAGATAGATTCTAGATGATATATTTTTCTTTAGTCCATTATTCCCCCAATGTCAAATCTCTTTAAGGTAGAAGTTAAACAACTGTATTTCTGTTATTACTCGCTAGAACCCATTAAGTGTAATACACTGATATTTTTATTAGATTTTCCTCCCCCTCCTTTTTTAATCCAATATTTGGCTAGGTAACAAGTTTCCAGAAAGAACGTAGGGTTTCCCTATCTCATAGTTTCCTAACAAAGGACTTCTGATTTTAGTAGCAAAATGTGTGTGTGTGTGTGTGTATTTTCCAACTCTCAAGAGGAAAAGATTACCACTTAAATACCTAAATGTAGATGGAATAATGGCTCTAAATTACTATTTTATCTTTTTGTACATGGCAAATTCGTGGCTGTTCTATAGTAACAGTCACCCTGGAATTGGAATACCAGAGTTGAGTTACTAATCTGACTGTATCCTTTATAGCTTCTTAATACTGGAAGGGGGGAGGGGAGGTTAGTTGGTTGACTTAAAAGGCTAATTGCTGGAATGAAAAAAAAAGTAAATTTTTTTTGCGTATTGGTCATTTTCTTTTTCAGAATGTGAGAACTTCCTAGATGTTGGACTAAGCAGAGAGTGTGCCTCAAAACAAGGTGTCCTCAAGAGAGAATCTGGAAGTGACTCTGACCTCTTTCACTCACCCAGTGAAGAGGTAGACAGCATCATCTTTCCCAAGGTACTGTCCACCTCACTATATGACTCCTGCTAGCCATACTGAACATCTCTCCAGCTCTGTATGATCATAGAGAAGAGTATGTCCTCCTTTTTGGAGAAGGGAACTCCAGGTTACTGAGGCTTAGAAAAAGACATGGGCCACTTTATCTTCTGTAGAGTCGTGGCTGGTTACATGCAGGTTTTGAATCCTAAAGAAATGGGAGTTCCTTTGGTGTGAATTAAATCAGATGAGGGTGAATACTTGTCAGTGAGCCGGAAGGGACCAGAGCTCAGACTGCAATACGTCATGTGTGTAAACTAACCTTAGAGTCATTTCTGATTAATGTGTTTAGGCCTGGAGCTCACTGCCGAGCTTGGTGATGTTACTCCTCCTCCTCTAGCCTGCTTAATTGGAACTTTCTAGATCTCTGCTGGGGAACCCAGACTGTCGTCTTCCCAATGAAAAGCCAAGTGCATGTGCATGAGTCACCTTGTGTTTTCATACAATTTGAGGCTTTCTAAGGGGGTGGGGGATAGGGGTGATTTGCTTTTCTTCTGCTTAACGTTTGTATCTAGTTGCAGCGAGTTCTGTTTTGTCTCCTGAGAAGAACAGTGGGCTTTTCCACAGCAGAATCAGCAAGTGGTAGTCTGTCATGTGCCACACGTGGTTGTCTTAATCTCGAGGGGGTGAAAGAGCAGCAACACAGCAGCTGTGAAGATGCCTTTATGAAAGCTTCATGATGACCCTGGAGAAGTGATAAGGACAGTTGGGCCTAGTGGGTGAGGAGGTTCTCCAAGACCCTGTGAGGATGCTATGTTTAAGTTATGGGAGAGGCTTTGATGTCCTGGGATTCTGGGCTAGAACATATTAAAAACCTCTGTTAATGTTCCCTCAAACACTTTGTTTTCATTTTTGTCCATTAGCTCCCATGTTCCCATTTGGCCTCCCCTTACTATTTCCCATCTTGTTCCTTTTCCTTGTGCTGTCTTTCAGATGTTCTTGGAAAAATTTATTGAACTTCAGGATTCCTGTCATTGTTACTCATAGCGAATTGATTCAGTGGGTTCTGTAAAGTAAAAAATCTGCACTGTGGGAAGTTATGTCCTTCTCTAAGGTTATCTAGGAAGAGGGAAACCATGATTTTTTTTTTTAATAATAGAATTTGGGTAATTTCCACTGTGATTTTGAGGTTTCCATTGTAAAGACTTCTGAACCGTCACCCACCCCCAAGGGGAATACCATTCTGAAGGGGCATGTCTCTCAGAATCTATTACTTGTGTCTTAGATAAACAGATTAGATAATATCTCTTAGTTCCAGCTTTAAAATCAAATCACTGACAGTCACTGAAACTGGGTCATGGATACATGAGGATTGTTAAAAATTTATGTGTGTTTGAAATTTTTCATAGCCAAAAGTTGTTTTGAAATTGCCAAGTCTTCATTAAGACATAGTTGTGTGCTCCCTCCTAGGTGCATGACAGCTTGTCCCTAGATGCTGCCACCTCTGCAGAATGGTAGTTATTTCTGGTCACTAAACTGAGTGATTTTCCTAGCTAAAGAGAATTCAGATTTCCTGTATTTTGCCTCTTACTCAAACTGCCAAAAAGCATTTAGGAGATTGTTCTTACGAATAGCTGCTGCTAGATTTGGCAGTTTCTTCAGGATGACTAGACAGATAAAATCATTAAGAGTTGAAGCATACTCGCCAAATCAACTTTTACCCACATTTCATACCCGAGTGGCTAAGAACAACCAGAAATGGTGGATGCAGTGTCATCTCTTGGTGCACACACGACAGTGTCTCATGGCCTGAGACGAGATCCAGTGGGCTCTTCCTCTTAGTTTTTTCTACTTTACCAAAGTTGTTTGTGACCAGGAGAGGTTTAGCAATAAATGTTTTCTCTAGCATTTGTAAAGCCAAGAGTTTGCATATGAAAGTAAAAGGGGAGCAAGAGAGAGAGACACTTAAAGTGGTTACTGTACACTCGGCACTGAATTGAATTTTTTATACATGTGATCTTGTTTCATATTCCCAACAATTCTGTGAAATGGGTGGTTTTATCCTTGTTAAACTCCTGAGGGAATGCAGGCTCTGATTGGTAGAGAAGTGTAGTCCAAGGTACTCAGCTGCTAAATCACAGACTTGAGATTGTACTTAGACCCTACTCTCAAAAATGTTCCCTGTTACTTTGTTCTCTCTCTCCATGTACCTGCTTTAAAAAAAAAAAAAAAGATTTTATTTATTTATTCATGAGAGACACAGAGGGAGGCAGAGACATAGGCAGAGGGAGAAGCAGGCTTCCTGTGGGGATCCCAATGCAGGACTCAATCCCAGGACCCCGGGTTCATGACCTGAGCCAACCAGGTGCCCCTAGGCACCTACTTCAATAGCCAGTGACTTACACAGAAGCAAGGTGGTGACAGACAGGCCATCAGCAGTCTGCCTCGGTGGACAGCCCCACAGGGTGTGCTGTGAAACATCCTGTCCTGAAGTGCTTGCCCCTCTCCCATCTCTAAAAAGTCATCCCTGGGCAAGGCATCACAACACTCTTTTCTGTGAACTATGAGTGGTGCGTTAGGTCACTTCCTACAGCTGTGTGTGTGACTCTGGCATCACAGAGGTTTCTTTAGTAGTCTGCTGCATTTGTCACAAACTCTTCACCTTAACCTTCTGCTTCCATTCAGCATACCTTCAATAAATATGACTCTTGGATGAGAGGAGCTTTGTGATGACTCTTGTGAATATTTGTTAGTTCTAAGGTCTTCATAGATGACCAGTGTAAAATTTAGATTTTTTAAAGATTTTATTTATTCATGAGAGACACAGAGAGGCAGAGACGTAAGCAGAGGAAGAGGAAGACTGCCTGCATGGAGCCTGATGTGGGTGGGACTCAACCCCAGGACCCCAGGATCACGACCTGAGCCAAAGGCAGACAGTCAACCACTGAGCCACCCAGGCGCCCCTAGGTTTTGTTTTTAAAGTAGGAAGAAATCCTGGGATATTTCTTGGCACTAGCAAAGAAAGAGTGATCATAAAATGTATAATCTCGGTCACCCTGTTACCCAAAAGGTTAATTGAGGTCCACGAAAATACTGATAGTTGCAGTCTCTGTCCCCAAAGAGATTTAGATAAAATAAAGCCCTGACACCTTATTTTTTCTGTAGGTCATAAAATGTACCCACAATTAAAAAAATCAGAGTAACTCCCCCAAGATGCTAAACCTTAAGGGAACATCCTTTCTTTCGTCTGCTGTAGTTTGCTCTCAAGTACTTGATCATCAAGCCAAGAAAGTTTTTTAGCCTTTCAAGGATAAAAGTGATTATACTTATAGAATCCAAATCAGAAAACTATTATCGTTCATGCACAAGTATTGGAAATTATTATAATTTCAAACTGTGAAACAGCTTGCTATCACGTGCTTAGATTCTTAAATAAATTATCACACACAAATGGATTAAACAGTTGGCAATATTAGGTGTTCAGAATGTGAGCTGTTATTTTCCAAGGCACATAGCAGAATGCCTTGTGTCTTATAGACATTTAATTTAATGAGTAAGTTATTAAAATTAAAGAACTAGTATTTTGACAATATCAAACATTCCTTAAGGTGTAGTAGTAAGATAGAAAGTGCATAGTTGTTTTTATATCTATATACATATATATTTATAGAATGTACATATACAAATATATAATATATATGTATTTTTTTTTTTACATGATTACCCCTCTCTCTGTACCTGTATATTCCCTATCTAGTATAATTGTTGGTGAAGAGAGCCAGTAGGGCATTTTCCCCCAGTGTTTTATTGAGAAGATGCTGAAACACAGGGAAGTTGGAAGAGCTATACAGTGAACACCCACCACCTCAATTCTACCATTACCTTATTATATTTGCTTTGTTACACACATGTGCATCTGTCCATCTTTTTTCTACACACCTGTCCGTCTAATTGCTGAATTCAATTAACAATCCACTTTTACCCCCCAAATACTTAGAATTCATATGTGTTCATAGTTTATTTTTTATAAAATCTATACACCGTGAAATGCACGGTGTGAAGGCTACCATTCAGTGACTTTTCCTTCAGCTTTATTATGTTATAATTGACAAAAATAGTACATATTCAAAGTGTACAAGATGATGCTTTGATAGACCTACATTGTGAAATGCTAACCACAATGAGACCAAAGTATCTATCACCTCCCAGTAACCTTTTTGTGGAGGTGGTAAGAACACTTGAGATTTACTTTCCTAGCAAATTTCATGTATACAGTACATTATTAGTAACTGTAGTCATCCTGCTGTACATCAGGTCTTCAGCATTTATTTGTCTCCTGAGGGTTTGTTCCTTTTAATATCTCCCCCTCTCCCTTACCCTCCATCCCCAGGGAAGCACTGTTCTACTCTCTGTTATTATGAGTTACCATTTCTGAATTCCATAAAGAAGTGAGATCATGTAAAAGTTGTCTTTGCCTGGCTTCTTTCACTTAACATGTTGCCCTCAAGGTCCATCCCTGTTGTTGTAAATGGTGGGATTTCCTTCTTTTTTTAACTCTGAATAATATTTTTTTTACCTGTTCAGCTGTTCATGGACACTTAAGATGTTTTCATGTATTGGCTACTTTGAATAATGCTGCTGTGAACATGGAAGTGCAGATACTTCTTCAGGACAGTGGCTTTATTTCCTTTGGATATATACCTAGAAATGGGATATTGCTAGATTATATAGAGCAGTTCTAGTTTTAATTTTTTGAGAAAACTACATACTGTTTCCCATAATAGCTGCACCTCAGCGACTTTTAACAAGTTCATTCATCTTTGTAACTCAAACCCCCATTTGGATGAGGCTATTACTACTTCACTTTGGAAAGTTTCCTTATGTCCCTTCTCTGTCTCCTCTCCAACCCCCTGGAGGCAATAACTGTTTAAATTTTTTCCTGTCACAGGTTACTTTTCCTTATTTCAGAGCTTCATAGGAATGGAATATAAATGTTCTTATTTCTCTTGGGTAGATGAAAGGAACTGATGAATCGTATGGTGGCTGTAGGTTTAGTCTTATAAAAAATTGCCAGACCTTTTCCCAAAGTGATTGTATCATTTTCCATTCTCACTAGCAATGTATGAGAGTTTTGGTTGCTCCATGTTCCTATCAACATGTGTGATTGTTTTGTTTCGACTTTAGCATTTCTGGTGTGCATGTAGTGGTAGCTCTTACCGTTTTGATTTGCATTTCCTTGACAACCACCGATACTCTTAAAGACATTTCCATGTGTTTATTGGCCACTTGTGTATCTTCCTTTGTGGAATGTCTTGTTCATGTTTCTTGCACATTAAAAGAAATTGGTTTGTCTTTTTGTTGAGAAGTAGGAATTGTGTATATGTATCCTGGATACCAGTCATTCGTTAGATTTATGTTTTGCAAATATTTTCTTTCAGTACATGGCTTCCCTATTTGCTTTCATGAATGTGTCTTGATATACTGAATGTTTAGAATTTTGATGAAGTATAATTCATCCAGTTTTTATGGCCATTGCTATTACCTGTGTCCTCTTCTGTTACTGATTTGTCTGCCCCTAGTCAAGTTGTTTTCCTTTAGGACATGGATAATTTTAGCTTTTACATTTAGGACTGGAGTTGATCTTAATTTTTTAAAACATTTATCATCACTTTAAGAAGAAGAAAAATAATCTGGCCTTTACCCCAGACCAGTTAAATTAGAATCTTATTATGTAACCTCACTGGACCTCAGTTGTTTCATGTATAAAATGAGAATAAGAGTATCTACCAAAATCAGGGTTCCTGGGTGGCTCAGTGTCTGCCTTCAGCTCAGGTTATGATCCCAGGGTCCTGAGATTGAGTTCTGCATCAGACTCCCCACAGAGGGCCTACTTCTCCCTCTGTATCTCTGCCTCTCTCTCTCTCTCTCTCTCTCTCTCTCTCTCTCTCTCTCTCTCTCATGAATAAATAAATAAAATCTTTTAAAAAATCTAAATCAAATATTAAAAGAACAAACACATCTACATCACTTAGTGCAGAGCCTCCCATGTGGTGAATATCTAGTAAATAACCATTACTCACATTTATGGAATAGTCACATTGCATGTATATCTAAGTAACAGTCATAATGGTGCCAGGGGATCAGTGTAACTAGTGCATTTGATTTACATGGAGTCAAAACCATATTTTTTTTTAAATGTGCTAGTTAAGTTGATCCCGTGGCACCTTTTCTCCAGACAATCAGGGCTAATATTCTAAGTCTCTGAAAGTCATTTAATTAGCAGACGTTTTAAGAGAAAAGAAGTCTTAAAGAAAGACCAGCACATAATTCAAAAACTATTAAGAATGGCTTCAAATATTAGGCATGGAATAGTCTATTATGTGACAACAGCCAGAACTTTTCCCCCTTCTGATATATAAATGGAAAAACAGTATTCTCAATCCTGGTACTTTCTGTGAGGAGTGTGGAGAATGGTGAAAGTAACGGTTCTCCTAATAACTAAAGCACTAATAAATTCAGGGACTGGAAGGGAATAAAAAAAAAAATCCAAACACTTAAAAACCCCACTTGTTTTTCCCCTCTATTCACTATTAAAATAGTAATTTGCAACAGCCTTTGGTAAGGTCTAGTATCTTTAGATCTAAAAGATCATCATCTTAGATAGACAAATTGAGAAAGTGGTTACATACCTAGCTATAGAAAGACTAGGACCATATTCCTAGTTTCTGGTTACATGCCTGACTGCTTTCTATTCTGCCAGGATAGTATAAAGACATGATAAAGCTGGGAAATTCTTTTGAGAGCACATAAGTCTTGGGGAAAAAGTAATTTAGAGCATTCTTTTAGATTTGATCCAGCATTAAAGAAAAACCATTTGCCTCAATACTTAGAAATGAAGACTTACCTCAGTTACTGATTTTGTCTTGTTTTTCCCTTTTTCAAGTAATAACCACAAGCTCATAAGAATTGAATACAATAAAGGGGCACCTGGGTGGCTCAGTGGTTGAGCATCTGCCTTTGGCTCAGGGCATGATCCTGGGGTCCTGGGATTGAGTCCTGCATCGGGCTCCCTGTAGGGAACCTGCCTCTCCCTCTGCCTGTGTCTGCCTCTCTCTGTGTGTTTCTTATGAATAAATAAGTAGAATCTTTAAAAAATAAGGTACAATTAAAAAAAAAAAAACTTGAGCGTAATATTGGTGTGAGCTTCATTCTTACTAGGAGTGCAAGGACTAAAGAACTCAGGTATTTACTGTGAAAACTCCCTGGTTATTTAGTTTTTAGGGACTTGGTTTGGCTTATCAGAGTTAAAAGTACACAGATGTTCTAGCACACACCAGGATCAACACTGTTGAGGATATATGCTAGACAGTGTTATCCTTTTTTAAAGTGTGTACAAACAGGCCACCAATAATTTTCCCAGCTTGTTTTAATGTCTTACTAGAAAATATATGCTTATTACACGTGCAAGTTAATCCCCACTAACTTAAAAAGAATGGTTGATGATTTTATTTTAAAATAATACCTACCCTATTTTAGAATCTACTTGGTTAAAACATGGTTTTACTTTACAATGTGACCCAGTGGAGGGAACACAGAACTTCAAGATCTTGTCATTGCAGGAATTTTTTTTTAGATATTTTCATTTGGGATGCCTTGGTGGCTCAGCAGTTGAGCATCTGCCCCCCCCCCCGCCCCCGCCATGAATGAATAAATAAAATCTTTAAAAATATATATTTATTTATTCATTGGAGGGTGGGGGCAGAGCATGAGCAGGCGAAGGGGCAGAGGGAGAGGAAGAAGCAGACTCTCCCCCCCCCCCCGCCCCACCCTGAGCGGGGAACCTGACACAGGGCTCCATCCCAGGACTCTGGGATCATGACCTGAGCCCAAGGCAGACCCTTATCCAACTAAGCCACCTAGGCACCCTCCGCCCCTTGCAGGATTTTTTTAAAAGATGATGAGGGGAACAAAACAGGGCAGTTGTAGTTGAAATCTGCCTTAGTTCACATCTTGTTCTTGCTATTCACCACCTGTGTATTGGGAAGGACTGAGAACCAGTCTGGGTCTTAGTGACCCCCACATCTCCCTATTAGTCTCATCCTTTACCATCATTTTCAGATCAATTAAATGAGGAAACTGGATGCCACAGAGTGAAAAAAGCTCATATGAGCTGGAGGAGAATGCTTTTGAAGTGTTACTGTAAATATTTGAAAATACTCTCCTTCTTGAATAGGTCTTATTTTCTTTCTTTCTTTTTTTTTTTTTTCAAGGTCTTATTTTCTATTCCAAAGCTAAAAGGCTCATTAGTTTTCATAATTATTAAAAGCTTTCTCAAAGAACTGTTTCTTCACTCTTAATTAAATTAAAACTTTGATTAGACTGGAAAGAAGGAAAAATAAACCACAGAATGCCTTTCCCTAGTCCCTGCTCCCTGTCCTAGAAGAACACAATAAAGATGTTAAGAGTTCAGTGCCCAAATTCAAGAGTGTGATCATGCATCTTCTAGACACTTCTATGTATCTTCCAGATAAATTCATCTTCTGAGCATCAGGATGCTCATCTTTCCCTCACCTATCCAATTATGTGCTCTGGTGTTTGTGGAAACAGAGAATGTCAGGGCTACTGGGATCAAAATGTACTTTTCTCTTAGGCTCCAGAGTTTGACCAGGGAAAGAGCATCATCACTTACTAAAGACTCCGTTGCCAGGACTGATTATTTTATGTTCGATTTGGCTTGATAACACTGCCAATTCCCAGTGAAATGAATAGATTTCTTCCATGTAGGCATTCATGGCCCAGAATGTGGGCTTTCGTGGCAGATTTTAGATTGGGTTATAAGCTATTCTGCATTTTTCAAAAGGCCTCTTAAAATAATTACAGACTTGCTTTTGGACTATTAACTTCAGAACATTATGGCAGCCAAGCAGTCAACCGTGTTTTTAGTTAAAGCTAGTGGGAAAAATTAAACCTAATAGGATATGAATTTAGAGTTTTCACACAGCAGAAAGCCTGGGTACATAAGTTCTCTTTGTTTCAGTTGGTGGTATTGGCCTGTGCAACCAACCTGAACCTGAGTTGGATGCTTTTCCGCTGTAAGAAAGGAATGGTCTGTATACCTCTAATAAGAGGGTAGAAAGAGCACAGACCTAGACCACACCTTCATCAGGGGCTATTTGAATCCAACTGTGACCATGCTTTCAAAAAGGAAACACCTGTTTGATGCCAATTGGGGTCTTGCCCATCCTACCCACTGTGCAGCCACCAGGAAGCCACTTCTGGTTTGGGAATTATGATGCCTTGCCATTTTCAGCTGTGCATATTTTCTCTCCATGACAGCCCGAGGAAGAGCAGTTGGTCTGTGATATCACTGGATCCAGTTCTTCCACTGACGACACAGCTTCCTTGGATCGACATTCTTCTCATGGCAGTGATGTATCCCTCCCCCAGATTTCAAATTTGAACAGGTCCAGAGATCAGCAGTGTCTTGACGGCTTCTACAGCCATGGGGTGGGAGCTGAGGGTCGAGAGAGCGAGGGTGAAGCTGCCGGCTCAGGTGAGATGGAGGAGGAGGAGATGGACAGCATCACCGAGGTGCCTGCGAACTGCTCTGTGCTGAGGAGCTCCATGCGCTCGCTGTCCCCTTTCCGGAGGCACAGCTGGGGTCCTGGGAAGAATGCGGCCAGTGATGCTGAAATGAACCAGCGCAGGTGAGGTGGACCTGGAGGGGGCTGTTGGTTTCATTTCTCAGTGTCTGCTTGCTTCTGATGCTGTGACTTGGTTTTATTGTGGTAAAAAAAAAAAAAAAAATTAGGAGACACCGTGGTATGGAAAAAAGCAGATGGGCTTTGGGATCAGGAAAACCTGTGTTCAAACCCCAGCTCTGTTAACTCATTATATAGATAGATTTGCATGGGCAAGTTACTTGACTCCTCTGGGCTTTAATTTTCTCATCTGGAAAATACCTGCCTTTCAGAATATTTATAATTCTAAATACTGCAAGTGAAGTAGGTCTGTTACATGGTGGGTATTTAATGCTTACAGTCATTTGTTAATAAAATTCATAGATTAAAAACTTGGTGAGGGAATAGTGTCCTGTCAATTTCAGATTAAAAACTAAACATGAAATGTTAGTCTTAATACTATCTGTTTTCAACGTGCTTCCTGAGAATTGCTGTCCATTTCTAATGCAGAAAGTTTTGACAGAGTTGAAATGATTATCTAATCATAAAAGAGCAAAAGAATCCTTCAGTATCATTGAATGGTTGATATTTTTCCACATATCCTCCAGTTGTTAGGGACATGTTTACACGTGACCCAGTCTCAGCCGTTCAGTTTGGAAGCAGGCTATCAGAGGGTAGTGTGGAGTTGCCTTCTGACCAGAGGCTGCTTACACGAACTTAAGCAGATGGTTTTCACTCCAGCAAACAAATACCATGATGCCCGCTGTATGTATAGTTGTGCCTACTCCAGAGCTATTTTCTTGAGGAGGAAAAGCTAAGGGAGCAGGCTGACTGTTGTTTTAAAACAGGTGGTGTGACAAACCTCACCTGGGACGGTTAGGGCTTTTTTTTTTTTTTTTAAATTCCTCTACTTCCTTAAACATGGCTCAGATTTCGAAACTATAGGTATGTGTTATCTGCTGACATTCACTTGTTTATTCTTTTATTCAGCCAGAATATATTGAGCACCCACTACATGCCAGACATTTCTAGGTTCTAGAGACACAGGTGAATGAGCCAGAGTCCCCACCTTCATGGAGCTCCCAGCAATACCTTACACTTTCCTCATGTGCTACTCCTCTTGGACGTGTTTAATAACACAGTATCCCATCTGATTTTCTAGTCCAAATGCTGAGTCAGGTGGCATTGTCTGCATTTGTGCAAATTAGACTGCTGCCAATAGTTGATATCACTTACCGAGTGAGGTCAGTAGAATCTAGGTTTCTGGTCTCCTAGTTAAGTGCCTTTTCTGTGATTCCATATTATTCTTTGGTAGAGTGCAGGATGCTATTTTTAAAATCTATCTCCTGGATAGTTTTTATGTACATTTGAAAGCATAAATTATATAAACAGGTTTTTTTAGCCTTCCTTCCCAGCTTTTTCACGCTGTACTTTTTTTAAAAAAGCATTCATACTAGTTAAAAAAATAAGTAAATAAGGATGTGGGGAATGATCCCTATAGGTGGAATTCTTTTCCTGAGTCAAGAGTAGCCTCTTGACAGGACATTCTGTCAAAGATGATAATGGCATCAAGAAATGAGAGTTTATAAATGCAATCCATTTTTCTTTATAACCCACTGTGGATCGTGTCACTGTGACTTTGATTTCAGAGTTGGCTGTGACTATGGATCTTCTAGCCCAGATGAGGAAATTAAAGCTCAAGCTCAAATGAATGATTTGCCCAAGATTACATGGTGCTCTTAAGACAATGAAGACTAGAACCCTTTCACTTAATTATTCATATTTGCAACCTGTGTAATATCATGGCATCTCCTGTTTGAGTCTAGGACTGGCCATCCCTCTCACCACTGCCCCAGTGCCTCTGGAGATGGTGGATGGACTGGAATTATTGGTTTAGCTAATGCTTAATCTGCATATAATGTAACCTGAGTTTTAAAGCCTTAAATTCTTTTAAAGCTTTGAATGGCCTTTTTAAAATCCTTTTACTTGTATATGAGTTAATAAACCTCATTCCTTATCATCTGATTACCTCTTTGGAGCAAGGAGGGGAGCAGAGTGATCCTCCCCAGAAATTGTCAGGCTGCCAGTCCTTTTTGGTTCTCCCGTGTTTCTAACTCCACATTCTTTCATTCCTGCCTTCCTGTACTATTTCTCTGTATCTCTGTGGCCTGAGTCTCCCCCTTTGTGATGTCTGTATGCTTCATGCATTTGTGTTCATTGTGTTTCATCTCAACACTGACCTCTTCCACCATTCATTTTCAGTTCATTGCGAGTTCTTGGGGATGTTGTCAGGAGACCTCCCATTCATAGGAGAAGGTACAGAGTTCACTAACTTGATGGACTAACTGTGTTGCCTCTGAGCTTATACTAACAAGCATCTCATTTTGCTTAAGCCATGATTAAACATGATGATTATTTTTAAAATGCCACATCTGCTTCAAGCAAATAAAATATAGGTATTTATTAATTTCTGATGTTCATTTGCATATGAAATGGTTTCATGAATCTGAAGTTTTCTATTTTTATCTTTAAAAAAATTTTGTTAGTGTTTTTTCTGTCTTGTACTTACTGGTGTTCAGATATCACTGTGATAACTCTCCCTAGGAGAATTCAAAGGCACATTGATTGTACCTGAGGGACCCTGGGGAGTACTATTTCTTCCTCCTCCACCACCCCCAGAAAAGGGGGAAGAAGAAAAAAATTGTGTGCTGGCACACAGGCCCTAACACATTTTCAACACATCTAGGCCCACTGACCACTCCATTGTTGATGCAGTCATTTCTGAAAACAAGGCACATTAGCTCATCTCACAGTCTTTGAATTCCTTACTTATTTTTTTGTCAGGTAACATTTTGAAACTAGAATTAGTAATTTATAAGCTGAATATTCCTTTCTAGCCAAAAAGTGCCAATTTGCTTTTCAGATACTGAGTTTTACTCTGCTTGTTCAGAAGTCATCATTAGTGACCTTTCCTTCCATTATTTGCGGGGGGGGGGGGGGGGTGCGGGGAACGGAAATTCAGAAATCCAGAAATGGTGGTGGAATTACACATAGCTTGTCATATTGGGAGACATTTGTGAAGAGGTATTTTCAGTTCTGAGCTGAAGCTTCTTGGGAAGCTGGCACATAGTAATCCTCCCGGCTTTGTCTTTTTCCAGTGGGTACTTCCTATAATGCCTGATTTCAGACACAAAATTGAGTTTGAATACAAATACTCTCGTGAATCTCAGGTAATCATGGATCAGCTGAGTTGTTCTCCCAGGAGAACACGTTGTTAAGTGCCCCTTTCAGAAGAGTCTGAGACCTTTAGAGATTTGTTTGGCTCTCCGTTAAAGCCTTCAGTGTGAACTTATTAAAAGCGTGCATGTGTTGACAGTGGAAGATGACAAGTTGCTGGATACAGTCTCAGCGTATAGATCAAGCTTCAAGATAGAGCTAGGTACCGTCTCACCCTTAGTCATTTTTCTGCAGGAAGAATGTGAAGTATAATTTAAAAATTTATATGAAGCCTTAGCTAGTAAAGTTGAAACATTCCCACAAGTGTTAACAGGTGGGGAGCAGAATATTTATTTTTTAAAAATCTAGAATTTCCGAACTCTCAAAGTAAGGTCAAAGAACCATTAATGTCACCTCCACTAATTGAGGAACTGAGGAAATTTAGGAGGCTCTCAAAAAAAACCTACAAACCACTCTTATGATCCGAGTTCTCTGTTAAGAAGGAAGGGCAGGTCTGCTGCTGCTTGAGCACCACCTGCAGCTTACTTCCTGGAGCCTCAGGATGGTTGTCACATCCCTCCTTCTGTCTCCTGTCTCTCAGCATTCTCATTATCCTAAATTTCACCCTGCTCTCTCACAGCATTATCACTTTCTGAGAGTAAAGGGTTGTTTAAATCTGTAGAAGGAGATTTATTTTTTGAATGATAATTTGGTAATGTATATTCAGTTGCTGATTAACATGTGTTTTCAAGAAGTTGGGTGTTTTTTACATTTTTATTAACAATTTGGAGATTCACAATGAAGTTAATTTCAGAGAATGGACTTCTTAGTCGTGTGCATGTTTGTAACTTATATCGAGGCTTGCTTCCCTTGCACAAGCAAATTATAAATCAGTCTGATTTCGTTTATCAGACTAGAGATGTGTCTTAGATGCATATTTCTCCTTTCTGCTTCTGCCCTTGTGAGCTTTGTGCTATTAATTTAACCTAATTTTAAGTGTTTTACTCTTGAAATTATTTTTAAGTGATATTAAAGATGTACTTTTAGAACACTCACTTTTAGAACGCTCTTCTGTTTATTCTCCCTCCATTTTCCTTGTGTCTTTTCATCTGTCAGAAACCCCCACTTATCAAAGCAAAGTTATTAGGTATATTCAGAGTATTCAGAGGGTTTTGGGGTCTGCACATCTTCCCATTTGCAAGATTCCAGAGGGAGCTGAGTGGGTGTTACTCTTATCCCCTTCTGAAAACAAAAATACATCACTTAGATTTTTAAGGCCCCAAATGGTAGTGGTGTATTTTTTAACTGGTTTTTGATTTGTCAGTCAAAAATCCTGACTTGATGCAGCAACCTTCACAGAGTACATGATATTTTGAATTCTTTTTTTTTTTTTTTTTTAGTTATATGGTATTTCCAACCCTAGATTTTCTATCCCTCCTGCTTAAGGGTAAATACCAGTGCCAAGATAATCAAAGTAGATGATTAAATGGAGTTTTTTTTTTTTTTCATCTTGTGGGAAAGATGGATGCAAACCTAAAATTAAGACACAGTTCTCACTCAGTACCATAGAATTCCTTTTCTTTTGAAAAAAATACGTGCTTTCATTATCATTAAAATATAAGGAAATGTGACTAGTGTGACATGGCATATCTTCATCACAAGAACTTAGTGAGTAGGGTTTAAAGATGGGTGTGAGTGTTGATAGGATATCGTTATTAGGAAAGACTCAGGAGACCTCTGGCTTAGATGGACCCTAACTGGAAACATGAGAAGAAAACTCATGACCCATTGATCCTACCTCAGTGTAATTTGTCATTGTCCCTTTTAGTCCAAGGTGAGTTTAGTGTAGTTAAGGATTATCACCGTGGCCACAGAGGTCTGAGAGTAGTGTGGCAGATCGTACAGGGGACTGTCTCCAGTAATGGGGATGCCTCTGGACAATACCTGAGGAGGGAGCACTCTTTGTTCAGAGCTGTTACCCTGTGGCAAACTCACATAATCATTTCCAGCACATTGTCTAGATGGGTATGAGTAGAGCAGTTTTAAGTTTGTCGTTTTTGTTCTAGCCTTTTTCTAAATTCTAAATGTTATGTTCCTTTTTTTGATGATCAATTAAATCCATCTGTCTGTAACTATGGCTTTTCTTTTCAAACCCAATAACCCCATTGCTGTTTCCTCTTTTCTCCCTCCATTTCTGTTTCTGCCTTTGATGTCATCCCCAGTATGAGCTGGTGTCCCTCTGGTGTGCAATACTCTGCTGCCCTGAGTGCTGACTTTAATTACAGAAGGTATGGTATTGTTACATGTCCAGCCCCCAAAGGGGGAATCATAAAATATGGCACCTGGGCTTTTGGCTGGGAGCTTGCTTCTGTGTGGCTCAAATGCATATGGCATCCTGCTTTGTCTGTGAGCACAGTGTTGAGTTGCCTCTGCTATGGGCATCACTAATCCATTTGAAGGGGTACGGACTAGGAGGTGGATGGTGTACCCTGATGCATCCTATTTGTCTCAAGTGGCTGGAGATTTGGTGTTTTCTGCACAGACTTGTATCTATGGTATAAAGTAGATCATGTCTTTGTTTGGTTTTGGTTTGTCCTAATTTCCAGAACCTGGGGATTCCCACATCCTGAGGAAAACAGTGACAGAAGCAAGGCAGCTAATAAGATGCGCTTATTTCTGTTTTGTTTCCAAATCCCCCAATCTCTTTAGATTTCCAAAATCACAGATTCCTCAGTGTTTCATATTCTCTTAGCTGAGCAGCCAGATTTAATTACTAAAACACTTTTAGGATTAAGTTTTGTGGGTAATGATAGACTGGTTTTTCTCAGGCTTTACAGACAATTCACAATAGAAAACTAAATTTCTTCTTCACTTAGCCTGTCTCCCTGGTATTGAAAATGAGTTTCACAGAGACATATTTACTTAACATTTAATCATGATTTCTATTGTCATATTGAAATAAAAACAAAACCCATTGTTTAAATTACCCACTAGAGAAAAATAGAAGCATATGGTTTCAGTTCATAATAAGTAATTTATGAAATAAAAAAAGCAAATACAAGCCCTCTGGATTGGCACACATGAATTATTTGTAAGAACTAACTGTACAGTTTGAGCAGAGATAACTGAATAGCTTCAGTTTACCTTCAAATGCATTTCCAGCTGCTTGTAACTAAGAACATGGTCTGCTACAGCTATATTTTGCAATCTTGCTTGTTTTAAAGAAGTTCTCACTGCAGCTGCAACAGATGTGGATTATTCTGGCTAGTGCCCCAAGGCGGAGAGATGCTAACTACTCTTTGTAGTCTCCTGTTTGCAAAAAACAAACAAACAACAACAACAAAAAATGCTTTTTTCACTCTGCAGACCACAGAATCTTTATTCCAGGCATCCCATGCCCTAAATTTGCCCCCTTTTCTTGGTCAATATCAAAACCAAAAGATTAAAACTCTTAGACTTAGTAGCTTTTCAGCATTTCATTCTTTAAGGCGGCCTATGCATCTGTCTGCAATTGACGGTTCTCTGGGAACCTGTAAAGCAGTTGTTGTCCAGCCAGATGTACAGATGATACTGCTCATAATTAACACTTGTGTTTCTGGAGTGGACACGTACCTGTGAAATTATAAAGGTCAGCTAGACTGTAGTTGAATGTAAAGTTGTAAAGATCCACTTAACTGACTCAAGGGCAAGTCTGAGTCTCCGTGTTTATCTTCTGAAAGTTACTTATGCATCTTTTTTCTCTGTGCCATTTAATTCTTTGGTATTGGCTGAGCTCAGACTTTGGCAAAGATTAATTACGTCAGGTCAAGGAAAACCACCCATAAATAAAAGATCAGTAAGATACTACGGTCTTATCCATATGGTATATTGAAAAAAAAAATCTTGAGAAAATGACCTTAGATGGCCAACATTTGAACAAGTTGAATGAGATAAGAAAATCTCAGTGCAGTGTTCTTACTCAGCATACCAACACCTGTGGGGGGTAAAGATAGTTGGCACTCATTTGTGCCATGCCTTTGTCGATAACTTTGCTAGATGACATAGAAATGATATATCAGCAGGGAGATACACCCAGAGCAGTTTCATGTCCTCCTTCCTTTCTGTGATTCAGAAATAGAATGAATTAACTCCTTTACTCTGTGTTCAGTTTCAGCCTAGAAGGCTTGACAGGAGGAGCTGGTGTCGGAAACAAGCCATCTTCATCCCTAGATGTAAACTCCATAAACACCAAAGAACTCAGACACCCTTTCAATGGTGAAGAAAGGGGTGACTCTTTGGTGTCACTTTCAGAAGAGGATCTGGAATCAGGCCAGAGAGAACATAGGATGCTTGATCAGCAGGTAAGGCTGAAGTGGATATGTGCTGCTGATGTGGAAAAATTTATGCTTCCCTACATGTGTCCTCACATGAGGAACAAAAAAAGCAAGACTTAGATTAATAGAAGTCTAGTAGCTGTGATTGCTTACCCATTATACCATATACTCAGTCTAGCACAAAGCAAGTTTTTAGCACTTAACACTAACTCAAGAATACCTTTAATCTGCACTGATTTAAATATTCTATCAAAGCAGACGTTTTTAAATAAGGAAAGTACCCAAGATGTGTAATTGAATTTTTCCTTCTTACCTGAGGACTTCTTTTATCATCCCAATAGTAAAATGAGTCTTGAAGTTGTTACATAAAATTACCTAATTTTTCAAAACCCTATCCCTTCCTGGGGAAAAAAAAATCTTTGTCTTCTCACATTGCCTAGAAAATGGCTGTTTTTTCATCTCTGCTTCCCATCACTGTCAGAATTTTCACAAAACATCTGTACTCCCTCCCCACTGATGATCTCTTCATGCCTGCCCTTGGCACTCACCTGGAACTCCCTACTGGAGGGCCTGGTCTTCTCTCAGCCAGTCAGGTGACTTTCCCAGTGCTCACCCTCAAGGGCCTTTCTGTCACTCACCACCAGGCACAGGTCTTCAGTTTGCCGTGAGAACTAGAATCATAAGCTTTTAGACCCTCCCACCCTGGGCTCCTGGTACTTTATCTTCCACTTGGGCCAAGAGAACTTTCACTTGATTTCTGGGAGGATTCTGTGATACACGTGCAAATGAAACATTTCTAATTAAACAGACAAAGTTAAACACCTGTGTTTGAGTAGATGACTGGAGTTTTAGGTAGAAATAGAAGGAACCATATCTAATTAAGCTAACAAAAATGTCAAAACAGCCTGTTATTTGAGTTGGTGACAGGATTTTATGTAGACATTTAATGTTCTGTTGCACCCTATTACATAGCAGTGATATGATCAAATAGAAATTGGACACTGGGGGGTTACCTTAATACTGAATGTATTACTTACATGAAGGTCCAAGAGAATTTTGGCCGGACGAAAATCAGTTTGAAGGCACAAAGGAATTCTGCCACTTCTCCCCCTTCCCCATCTCCCATGTCTTCTGAGCCTGACACTTTAGAAAGGGTTAAGAAAAATAGCAAGAAGATGGAGAATAGGGGCACTTGGCTGCCTCTTGATCTCAGGGTTGGGAGTTCAAGCCCTGCATTGATTAGAGATGACTAAAAAATAAAAATAAATTTTTTAAAAAATGGAGAATATATTTATTGAAGCAAATGATTTAAATTTATTCAACCTAATGGTAACAGAAAAAGAGAGTGAAAAATAAAAACAATTCTTTCATAGCTTGCCAAGTGCATCTTTGGTAAGTGAGGAGTCTGAAGAATAAATTGCATTTCATGTGTGTGGAATCCTTTGGAAGTCCATTGTAAGACCAGGCAAAATACCAAAGTTGTGGATTTGTGAACAGAATCTTAGACTTAGAGCCAATATATCCCTTCAGATTCCACATAAGGCCTTGTGTGTGAGAACTTCATGCCCATTTGAAGCTCTTGCCGAAGGCCTCACAACTGGCCGTTGGCTGGACAACGTTAACCTCAGAATTCTTGGCTGCTACTCTCACTGCTTTTCTCCACATTTTTGAAGTCGGAGAGTTTTAATGAGGAAATGGGAACATTTTAATTTTCTTAATATTGTTATGTAAGACCTTTTCTGAAACATATTTCTAGGAATTGGACAGCGGACCCTGTCTGTTAATAAGTGGTATCAGTTACTGCTGAAGCCTTTCTAAAATGGCTTTTCTGATTTAGTCTTTCTAGATGAAGTTGCTGACATTTTCGTGCTTTCCTGTGCTCATTAGCCTTTCTGGAACTCTCTGCTCACCCACAGTTTTTGTCTTGTGTGCAGCCTCAGAGTGGGTCTTTGAGCTGCCGGTATCTCTGATCTGGACAAGTCGCCAGCAGCCAGCTTCCTGCTAAAGCTCTCTGCCTTTCACTGAGCTCATTTTTCAGACCTCACGGTTGTATATGAAACATAGCAACTGTTTGCCTCAGACTCCATGGTTACACATGGAACAAGCTTTAAATAATCAGAAGTCTTTGGCACACTGGAGTTGAATTCATGGTAGTAACAGATTTTCAATGCTTCCTTTTGAGCATGTGCAGATATTAGCCTACTGTTAAGGGTGTGGTTCATGACAAGTAAAGTCAGCTAACAACTTGAAATGGCCGTCTCAGAACAGGAGAGGGAGCCCCTCACCACCAGCAGTATGCCAGTACACACTGGTGGACTATTCTCCTAGGGGCATTATTATAGGAGCTTCTGCAGCTGGTTGCATTACATGGCTGCTGTGAATTTACTGAAGGCAGTAAATTACCAATTTCAGCCCCCCTCATGTTCATGTAGAAGCAGTCTGATCTTAGAAAAGGAAAGATTTAGACTTCTTCCCAGATGAATGCCTGCCTGGCTCTTGATCTTAAAACCTTTTACTTGCCGCTTTGTTTCCAACTCATTAAGATCAGAATAATTCTATTGGTATCTCCTATACCTCTAGAAAGGATATTTAGATTTTTGAAGAACAAGAGCAATACTATATGTGTTTTGGTATTTCCAGTGAAGTTATTTTTATCTAATTATGCATTCAGCAGATGTTTACTAAGTATGTACTAGTAAACATTATTAGGTATTATGACGGATATGAAACCACTGTACAGGATGGGCACTCCATTATTCCATCTTACAGATAAGAAAACTAAGGCTCAAAGCTAAGTAACTCCTCTGAAGTTAAACAGCTGTTAAGTAGCAGGGGCAGACTTGCGTCCAGTGTATCTGCCTATAGAGCCTGTGCTGTTACCCCTCCCATGAACTGCCGCCTTTTCCTAGGTTGGACTGGAAGGTAAAGTTCTGTGCTTATCTAGAAATAATAAGATGTATTCAGAACCTGTTCTTCAGTTTTTTTAAATTTTTTGTACTTCCCAGGCATGTCACAGATCTAAACAACAGGGATTCAATTACTGTACATCAGCCATTTCTTCTCCATTAACAAAATCCATCTCATTAATGACAATCAGCCATCCAGGGTTGGACCGTGAGTATATTACCTCTTTTTTTTTTAATTAAATATTTTTTAAACACTTTATCATTCTTCTTACTTTAAGACTCTGTAATATTACCTTCCAAAATTTGCCTGCCTCTTCTCCTGAGTGGCTCATTTAAATGGAAAAGGTGATACACAGTTTAGTTTGAGGATCTTCCTCCTTTTGCTAAAAATTGCTTTAGGGCCTAAACCTGACACGGATTTTAGAAAATTTTTTATTTTGAAGTAATTTCAGACTTTAAGAATAGTTACAAAGAATTACCATATATTCTTCATTTGGAGTCCCAGATGTTAAACGTTTGATATATCTTATCAAAATCATAACTTTTTATCAATCGCTCTTCCTCTATCACTTCCTTTAAAAAAGTATTTTTCTGGGGGCACCTGGGTGGCTCAGTCAGTTAAGCACCTGCCTTTGGCTCAAGTCATGATCTTAAGATCCTGGGATTGAGTCCTGCCCCACATCAGGCTCCCTGCTCAGTAAGGAGTCTGCTTCTCCCTGTCCCTCTGCTGCTCCCCACCACTCGTTCTTTCTCTCTCTTTCTCAAGTCTTTTTTTTTTTAAGTGTTTTTCTGAAACACTGGAGAGTAAGCTACAAACACAATGAGGTTATATCTGAAGATATTCTCATCTATTATCCAAATTTTAACCGATATTAATTTCCTGAAATCTTCAAAAATGTCCAGATCATGAAGGACAAAGAAAGACTGAGATACATTTTTAGTTGGTTAAGCCTGTACCAAAAGGATTACATCTGCAAATATGAATGGAGCTATATGCAGGTTTAGGACCCATTAGACCCATTAGGAGATGTCTGGCATCCATTAAGCACAGGGCCTTTGCAAATAAAAGATGCTCAGAAACATATTTGAATTGGATCTAAATGTTTGCCATGGAAAGATAGCTTGTTCTTTGAGAAACCCCACCTTTTTATTTTAGTTTTAAAATCTTGGTTGTTTTTTTTTTTTTTTCCACGAGTACAGTTTGAGATCATGACATAAAGATTTAGACATTCATTTAGATTAGATTGTCCCCATTATTTACTGAAAGTCCATGTATTCAAGCAGGCTGAGGCAGAGGGAATAAATAAACTCTCCTGGTGTTTCTGATGCTTCTTCAGTGTCCCCTGATATAACTCATCTTAAAAGAGTTGGGGACAGAAGTAGCTGCCCTACATTAGGGAGGTGTTCTATCTCAGTTCAAGACTTACTGCAGGCGTCATCTTTTTAACTTCCACTGTAGAATTAAGACATGATAGTTAATTGTTACCCTTGTCCTCAGGGTAACAAGTACTTCAGTACTTATCTCAGTACTTCAGATATGGCCTGTTTGACTATAAAGATGTGCCTACTAATGACATAGTCTCAAAGATGATGATCCCACAGAACTACAACTGGAATAGCTTTTCCTGTTTTTGTTTGGATTTTGGTTTTGTTTCAGTTTGGCTTTGGAATAGAGGTTTTGCTGGTATAGAATGAAAATCATTATAACAAAATAATAGTGGATTTGATAATCCTGAAGTACTAGAGTTCATTAGCCACAGATAGAAAAGCACTCTGAAGTGAGACATTTCAGCTCTGTGTATGTAGCCTCCTTCCATGACTAGTGAATGTGGTGTCATAGTGGAGAATCTACTCCCATAGCAACAGATAACAACACCAACAGAATGTGTCCCACAGAAGGAGCTTTTTCCTATATTTTGTGACACACTCTTGCCTCGTGCATGAAACACTTCATTAATTTTTCCTCCAAAAAGCAAGATGGTTTTTGACTATTTTCAGTTGCTAGCCAAACACTATAAATAATGCAGCTAACTCCCAGAAGACACTGTCCTAGAGTGCCAGGAGTTCTGGCACATAGAGCTTTTCCTCCTGTTGCTGGGAAATTTTCTGGTCCACTCACTGAGAGAACTGAAATGAGTTAGCAGACTGTTATCAACAGTAGAGCTCTAAGCAAGAGTTTAATCCTTTGATCAGAAGAGGGTACCCTCATTGTGACTTATGTTGCACATTTTGTGCACATTTGAATGATTAGGTCATAAATTAGTTAGCCTCACACTTTCCCTGAGTTAGCATATGCTGTAATTGGAGGGTTAATCAACTCTAATGATATTGCTTATCCTTAGTTCCTCCCCATATACAATTAATTTTCCCAAGTGTATTTTTTTTATTCTGCTCTAGAAACATAAATTTTTTCACTGATGTAAAAGTCCTGGCAGTTGAACAGAAGGCTAAACCTTGTGTCCCATGTGCTGTGCCTTTAAGCATCAGGATCACTGGCCTGATTCTCACTTTGCCACAGACTCAAATCTTCCATTCCAAATCACTTAAATACTCTGCATGATTCATCTCTGATCACGGTCTTCCTAGCTGAAAGAATCATAATTAAAATCTACACAGCAATTTTTAAAGCTTAAAGTATTCAGTACACTTAAAATGTTTTAATTGATGTTTTACTGTAAGCACACATTTGGTGGCTATGTGACCTTGGGCTAAATAGTGAAATCCTTTCTGTTACTTGATTAAACAGGGATAATAATGTTGATAAGGCTTAAAAGTACATTTACATAAAATCCTTAGTGTATTTCCTGGCTTACAGTAAGCAGTTGTTTCTGTTACAGTGAGTTCATTGATTTCACTAGGCACTGGTGCCTAGAACAGTGCCAGAGTCTGTCTCTGACTGGAGTTTAAATGTTAAAGAAAGGAGAACACCATGCCTCATTGTCTTTAAGTGGTTGTGTCTTAGGAGTACACTTTTCTAGGAACAAAATACTTTCTAAAATCTACCTATTTCACTACTTCCAGCCTCTACCTGTGCTATGTCTTCTTCCTTCAAAAAAATTAGCTGCCTCTACCACAGTATTTCATAGCTGTTAAAAGTTGGGCATTTCTGAAAATATATGTCTCCTGAGCCTCTTGTCTGGAATGTCTCATTGGGTCATTTTCTAGAAGAGAAACTCAATGTTATTTCTAAGGTGGGATCACTTTTTGAAATCCATTGATGCAGAGGAAAATACTGAGTAAAGGTGGTGACTAATGGATTTCTGTGTCATTTTTGGGGGTGGAAAGTAGACAGGCGACAGCTTACTTGGGAACCACAATAGGTGGGGAGCTGTTCTCACTCACATGTTTTGGCTGTGCTGCCTCAGTGGGAACATGATGAATGCATCCTGCCTGCTCATTTTCAGGGAATCAGAATAGCATTGCAGCTTCCTGCATCATGTGGGGAAATGCTGGAAGGATTGCCCTCAGAGAAACTACTCCCAGAGATGGGTTTGGCCCTATTTCTTCTTCTTGCATCAGAGAGGATGGAGTGGAGACTCCCAGCTTGCCAGCAGACATGGATGGTTTCTTGATAGAACTTAAGAATAAACATTGTTTTTGCACATACAGCATAATTCCATTATTACAGGTGATCCCTTTCCAAGAGTATATTTTAAAACATCTCATTGCTTCTACTCAGAAGATGGTCACAGAGAAAGTGCTTGATTGATTGTATCCCTGGAAGAGCCCTAACCACATTAGTGGCAGTGATGTTAAAAGAACAGTATACCCATTAGATAGATTTCAGAGGCTTTTAATGAGAAATCATTTTGCCTTGTTATCACAAAGAACAAATGTGTTCCATATATGTTGAAGATACTCCTTAGATACTCATACAAATAGGTTTCTCCATATTATCCATGAAATTGTGACAAAAGGGGGTGCTTTTATATTTTGTGTAATAAGAGAGCTCATTTTCATTTCCTGAATTTGCTTCACATTTCGAAGTAACTTTAGAAAGCACATGAAGAGGATGCCTTACTTTTTATACTAAGTGGTCACTGCCAAAAAACCCAGTGTACATGTATTCATGTCAGTGGTTCTTTGATCTGTCATGTGACGTGGCTGCTGACAGACATCACTTAGTATTTATGTGGAACATTCAGTTGGTATGGGTTTTTTTCATTTCATTTAGGACACTGAGCTTTTAGAGGGAAATTCATTTATTAATGTGTTTATTCAGCAAGCATTTGAGTTACTCTTTGCCGGGCACCAGACTAGACAGTGGTAGGAGAGGGATGAGCTTATAGATAAAGTTTCTTCACCACGTTCCCTCCACAAGAGAACAGGTGTGTGCAATATGAAGTGATAAATAAAGCAAGTGAAAGAAACATTGGGCTTTACAGGAACATCCGGCAGAGACAGCTTTACTAGGGAGAAGTAATCTCAAAGTTGACACTAAAAGGAGACTGGGAATTCAGTAGGTGAGTTAGTTTAGGTGTGCCACCAAGGTATCATGGTTGTGCTCCAGACCACCACCATGAAGCAGGTATCTGAATAAAGCAAGGCAGATGAATTACTAGGTTTCCCAGTGCATATAAAAGATACATTTACACTATGCTCTAGTCAAGTATGCAATAGCATGATGTCTAAAAAAACAGTGCACATATTTTAAATAAAAAATACCTTACTGCTAAAAAAATGCTAACCATCTCCTGAGCTTTTGGTGAATTATATATAATTTTTTTTGTTGGTAGAGAATCTTACCTTCAGATTTGGTGGCTACTGAAGGTTGGGTGGCTGTGGCAGTATCTCAAAACAGTACAACAGTGAGGTTTGCCAAATATATTGATTCTTCCTATCATGAACAATTTCTCTGCAGCATGCAATGCTGTCTTAATAGCATTTTACCCACAGTAGAATTTCTTATTCTACCAAGTAGGTGTTTGTTGGATGAATTATATAAGCTGTATTAGAATTCTGCGTATTCAGAAATAAAGATGAAAATGTAAACAAGTATGTTGTTCCCCTAGACAGCCTTTCCTGCAATCAGACTAGTAACATTATTCCATTCAGCATAATTTGAGGTGCCTTTCACTCTGTCCTGGAACAGTCTGCTGTGCTAACATCTGTTAACCCACTTTCTCAGCCCAGCCAAGGATGCAGCCGGCAAGGCGGGTCTCCTTCTCCGTCCACATCTCTCCACATCTCCTTAAGTCTAAAACTCTTTTTTCTCTTGGCTCTTCTTACTCCAGTGATGATGAGGAGGAGTTGCATAGTAAGTAAGCAACTGTAGTGTCCATGACTGCTCTCCAAAGGATCTGACCAGTGCTGCAAGTGCTGTTGGCTTCATACTAAGACATTATTTAGCCCCTTGCACGCCACCATTTCTAAATTACATGTCTTCATGCTTCACTTTAAAAATTAATCTGGATGAAACAGTTTTTGTCCTCTGTATACCACCTGCACTGGTTGATCCGGGGGCCTGATTCCAGGGCACAGGGATGTGTTCCTATCCCACCTGGTAGCTTTTGTACTACTGAGCACTAATTTCACAAAGCTTTCTATTTGATCATGTAAATTTCATTTTTTTCCTTGGTTTGCCCTTTTTTTTTTTTTTTTCTTTTGGTCTCATGGTACATCTGGATATCCACCTGTGGTATTTAAAAGCTAATGTTAAGCTTTTTTTCTTCTCACTTTTCAGATATGTCTTTAAAAATACCTTTCCCTTGGGGCACCTCACTGGCAAGAGCATGTGACTTTTGATCTTGGGATTAGGAGTTCAAGCCCCAAGTTGGACATAGAGATTACAAGAAAGAAAGAAAGAAAGAAAGAAAGAAAGAAAGAAAGAAAGAAAGAAAGAAAGAAAGAAAGAAAGAAAGAAAGAAAGAAAGAAAGAAAGAAAGAAAGAAAGAAAGAAAGAGAGAGAGAGAGAGAGAGAGAGAGAGAGAGAGAGAGAGAGAAAGAGAGAGAAAGAGAGAGAAAGAGAGAGAGAGAGAAAGAAAGAAAGAAAGAAAGAAAGAAAGAAAGAAAGAAGACCTTTTTTTGAGATTATAGCCCATGAAATAGGGGATGAGAGTTACAGATTTATTTCCTCCCTTCCTACCTTCTCTCCTTCGCAACTTTTATTTTTCAATAGTTTTCCTACGGTATGGATTTAGGATTAGTGTATTCTTATTTGATAATGCCTAGTTTTAAAACTTTATAAAGTATCAGTTTTAATAAGCTAGGAAAGGAATTCTCTCCCCTCCCCATGAAAATCGCGGTTTTCAATTATGCAAGATTTCTGGAATATTTCAGGATTGCTGCTTTTAATGGAAAAAAAAAATTTCTACAATAAAGGTAAATAATGAGTTGTTTTAATATAACCAGTATGAGTCTCAGAGAATTACAGTATTCATATAATTGAACACCCTGATTCCTACCACTTGCTGACCCTATACATTTCAGTAGTATTTGTTTATTTAAATATTAAAATTTTATAATTAAGCAATTTAAGCTCAGAGTGACATCTTTGCATTGTTCTTACAGGAAAGTACCTTACATACAGTAACACAGAGTTTAGTCAGTTTCTCTTAAAATTTCTCACTTATTACATTTAGTACTTTTTTCACAATTAAAAGATGTTTGGTAAGTAGGCACAGCATGAGATCTTTATACTGGTTGTAATAGGGAAGTTGCGAAAGTCCACTTAAAACTTTGAGTGTTCAGGGATCCCTGGGTGGCGCAGCGGTTTGGCACCTGCCTTTGGCCCAGGGCGCAATCCTGGAGACCCGGGATCGAATCCCACATCGGGCTCCCGGTGCATGGAGCCTGCTTCTCCCTCTGCCTATGTCTCTGCCTCTCTCTCTCTCTCTGTGACTATCATAAATAAATTTAAAAAAAAAAAAATTAAAAAAAAAAAACTTTGAGTGTTCAGAAATTCTCAAGCCTATTTCAGTTGAAAATATTTGTGATACACCCAGGGAAATAGGTCCACATATGGCAACTACAACAAAGGTCCCAGTGGCATTCCTTCTATCACTAATATAAAATTATTGATGTAAAACAGGACTGGTTATACAGTTCACCCAACATGATGGAATCATAAAAGTTGTAGAAGCTTGAAGAGATCTTTGAGCCAAGTATCTAGCATTCCTCAAAATATGTTTTAAACTCACAAATACCAGTGAGCATTAGGGAGGTAGAGGAGAGAGGGAAAAAAAAAAAGGTTTGGTTTGGTTCATGGCCACATAAATTTAGGAAACTCCAGTTAAGCTGGTTTCAGAGGCTAATGTGTACATTGTGAATTTCCAAGGCAGCATGTTCAATGAGCTGTGTTTCCCAAAGTTATTAGCTAGATAACCACAAAATGTGCCTGACTATGCACAACACCTCACAAGACTAGTATTCCATGAAACACACTTTGGAAAATATTGACCATGTCCATCCAGTAGTTCTGACCCTGGAATATTATAGTATATTAGGTCTGCAGGTTATTTCAGGACTTTAAGAAAAGCCTAGTTGAAATATGCTGTTGACCTGCAATAGTACTTTGCAGGCCAACATCAGTGACAGATTTCTGTGCTTTTGTCTTTGATTGTACCAGAGAAGTAACATTGGTTTATTTCATACTATTAGGTTATCTGAAGACTTAATGACACTTTAGGAATCTGAGATGTATTGGTGAATTAATCAGTTTTCAGAACCACATCTAGGAAGTCACAGCAAATGAATTAAAATTTTTTCATCAGTAAAAATCTTAGAAATCCTTGTAAGAGTCATAGATTCTCCTAGTACTTAATCACATATTTGTTCAGTTTTTAATTTATTCAACAGAAATGTACTGGGAGCTTGTTCTTGGCTGGGCACTTTGCTGGTTGGTATTTTTCCTCATTGTGGATTTTAGTTTCTTCTTGTGCATATTACTAGGGTGCTATAACTTTCTAGGTGATTGCTTTACTATACATCAGAGTCCTGGGAGCATGAGAGAATTTAATGCTGCTTCTATCATGCAAGGTCCCTTGGATGGAAAAGATTTTAAAGCCACTGATCCTAAACTACACTTTTGGTTTTTTAAGTAAATTAAAGCATCTGAGGTTAAACTGCTGACAATTTCACACCTAGATCGTACAGAAACTTGGACAGATCCCAGATTAACTCTTATTCGGTTCATCTTTTTCAACTGGCTGTTACTACCACACATTATAAGTGAAATAGAAGAACCCAAGCTGGTAAGAGGAAGAACCATAGAAAGAAGACTTAGAACACTTGTTGCCTATTTACTTAGTATTAGCTACCATTTTGAATTTCTGTTCAGAATCTAGAACAGGTTGGACATTTAAGAGTTTAAATGCTGGGAATCTGGTAGTGGAACATCTTCAAATCTTTATCAAACTAAAACTTGACTCACAGTAACAACATTGGTACTCGACAGCTCTTGTCTACCTGGAGTTATGCACAGAAAGTATTTCTATACCTGATCCCCTAAAATTGGAAACCATTTCTTGAGACCCACTGATCTAAGTTCTGAAGTAACTCAAACTTTATTAACATGTTGTAGATAAAATAATGTAGTGTTCCTTCTGGTTGCTCCACTTGCTGCCCTGCTGTCTGACCTGGCCTTACTTCTAACGACCTGTTTGACTTTATGGTCTGATAGTCATGGAAGAAGGAAGAATGCATCTGCCCTGCACATTGTCAGTGTCAGCCTGGCAAAGACCTTACCATATGTTTTACCTCCCTCGTCTCACAGATGAGGAAATGAAATCCAGAGATCTCACCCCAAATTAGTAATAAGACGAGGAACTTAGAAGCCAGCTCTGATGCTCTTCTCTTGTTCACTAATTCATTTCCAGGAATGCTCATGAAAATATTAGATTTACAATAGCTAGATCTTTTGGTATGGAAACTTATGAAAGCAAAATGAACAGCATATAGAATATATTTAATTTTCGATTTTATGTTCTTCCTTGATGTCATCTCAGAAAGATGGCCTTTGGAAACGGAGCATTGGCAAGAACAGGAATTAAACATGTCTCGTGTGTTTGATCATGGAGAAGAACATGTTGGTTTGGGGTTTGCTCACTAGCTTGGATCCTGGATTAAATTTTTTGTCAGGGAGAATTCGCTCCTGTTGCTGCCTGTTTCCAATTCCAATGTTAAGGGTTTTGAGTTGAATTTTTCCTTCTTCCAAACCCTTAGTTAGGAGGAGAAGGCACCACACACGGCTTTCAGATGCTTTCTGCTCTACATGTGTCATTGTAAACATTTTAAACCTCTTCTCTGTCAGCCAGGCACAATCCTTTGGTTCCAACATTTTCTCTACCTTTTTTTTTTTTTCTTTCAGATTCTCGGCCTTTCCACAGCACCAGTGCCAATCTGACTGAGAGGTACCGCCCATTTATTTTGTTACTCCTTTCCCTGAGACGAAATGAAGGAAATCCAAAATGTCTTAGGACATTTAACTAACCTAAGAAGTGAATTCAGCTCATTGGAATCCTACTTCCTTGAGTGATAAATTTGGAATAGTGGCTACAAGTGGTTTGTAAAGAAGGCCTATCCTTTTTGAATTATGCCTTCAAGAGCCTTTTACTTTTGTTCTCTATCCTGACGATAAACGTTTGCATTTATTCAGTAGAGGAAACACTTGTATTTGACTGTATGAACTTTTGTACTCTGTTTATAGAAATTATTAGTCCCTAAGGGCTGACAGCATTTTGTTTGTGCATGTGCAGTGCTGCTACTTTAGCCATTGTAAGCTTTAAAATAAAGTCATTTTCTTCTACCTGTACAGATATATATTACACAGCTCTGTCCAAAGTAAGTGAATTGGTTCTTTAGTTGACAATAGGCAGAAGATTAATACTTTGACTCATTGTTTATTTTTATGTTCCTCTTGTCATGCTTATGGGGTTCTAAAATATTCTTAATGTAAGCATAATGGGGTTTTGATTGTTGCGCTACACTTCAAGCTGTTCTCCTTTTCACAAAGGCTTTAGAGTGACTCAGTGATCCAGAACTGTATGAATGCTTCTCTTTGCATTTCTGGGTCCTAGTTTATTTATCCTTTGTCCTCTAGAGCAGTGCTTCTCACACCATTTCCCCTTTATCATAATAACAGATGGCTTTATTTTGTAAACAGTACTTTATATATAAACAGACCTTTAGCTATTGGAGAGGATTGTTCTCTCTCTGAAGTTATTCCTCTGTCGTCTCCCAGAGGCCCTTGAGATAAACATAACTTTTCTGCGGAAAAGTTCTTAAAATAACGATTGTAGAACACCTGAAAAAAGTAATCGAAGTAGAATCCTTTTCTGTGTAATGGATAATGTATACAAGTGCCCAGCATTCTTTGAGGAAATCAACCATTATGAATCTCCTAAGGTCCAGACATGTCCATCATGGATGGATTTAGATGCTTTGTAGATCAGTAGTCCATCTGGATCAATGTGAAACTCCTAAAATGGATCTTTCTATACTCTTCTCCCTCCTAAGATTGTGCAAGGCTATATGCACCAGTATTGAGTGTCTAGTGCACCCAAAGACTAAAAACGATATGTGACTTATTCCTTTAGGGAATTTGAATATGCAATTGGTTATAAAAATTTCTTTGTGGGATCCCTGGGTGGCGCAGCGGTTTGGTGCCTGCCTTTGGCTCAGGGCGCGATCCTGGAGACCAGGGATCGAATCCCATATCGGGCTCCCGGTGCATGGAGCCTGCTTCTCCCTCTGCCTGTGTCTCTGCCTCTCTCTCTCTCTCTGTGTGTGTGACTATCATAAATAAATAAATTTAAAAAAAAAATTTCTTTGTAACCTTTATCAATGTATCCATTATTCCACTGTACTTATGAGTTTCTTTTCAAGCACCTGTTTGGTGCAAAGATGGTTCTAAGTTAAGTGCTACTTTAGATTAAGAAGTTTCAGATAAAATAATAAATGAATAATTGACAGGCTGTGTTTGATACTGAAAATCTATTACTAAAACATTAATGGCTGATACAACAAAACTTAGCCAGGTTTTGGCACCAGAACGTGGGCATTGTGGTATGTATGCTCTCTTCTGGATCTTACTGTATGGAACCAGTCCGCAGCCCCTGTCCTGCTCGTTCTCTTCCCCATTTTCATGTGTGTGTATAAGTTGACTATGACTTGTAGCTAAAATGATAACATGGTTACAAAGAAATGTGTGCTTTAATCTCAGTTTCCTTTTTTAAAATCCTGTAGTCTTTTTTAAAAAAATCAATCTTCTTGTTTTTATTTAGCATAACAGAAGAGACCTATAGTTTCCTGCCACAAAGCCCCTCTAAGAAAGATTTTGAAGGGAAGAGTGGAACAAAAGTCAGTCGTACATTCAGCTATATCAAGAATAAAATGTCCAGCAGTAAGAAGAGCAGAGTAAGTACCTTTGTGGGCGTTTCTCTGTGACCACTGTAGATGGTCACCAACCATAGGTCCTGTCATAGCCTGTATGCACCCAAAAACTAATTAAGTAGTGAGACACAAGGAAATAAACCCAGAGATAATCTTTGAAATTGCCTAATACCTGAAGAAAAATAACAGCCAAAAAAAAATAGCAACAGGGATCCCTGGGTGGCGCAGCGGTTTGGCGCCTGCCTTTGGCCCAGGGCGTGATCCTGGAGACCCGGGATCGAATCCCACATCGGGCTCCCGGTGCATGGATCCTGCTTCTCCCTCTGCCTGTGTCTCTGCCTCTCTCTCTCTCATTCTATGTGACTATCATAAATAAATAAAAATTAAAAAAAAAATTTAAAAAAAAAAATAGCAACAAACGGTAATACCATTAATTGGGTTTTACTGTATGCTAAGTGCTTTCCATATGTTATTTTATATAATATATATAATATAATAATATATATAATCCTTTCCACAACCATATGAGGCTGATAGTATCACCCTTTCCCTGGAGTGAGTTACCCTATCTGGGCATTGTGCCCCCACATCTGGAATGGAGGTCCAAATCCGGATCTCTTTGGCTTCAGATCTCATACTGTCAACCACATGCTTTAATTAGTAAACCAGATTTAGAATGTACCTGAAGGCGGGGCACCTGGGTGGCTCAACTGTTTATACATCTTGATTTCGACTCAGATCATGATCCCAAAGTTGTGAGATCAGGCTCTGCACTCAGCGTGGAGTCAGCTGGTCCCTCTCCCTCTGCTCTTCATCCCACTCATGTGTTCTCTCTCCCCCAAATAAATGAGTAAATAAAATCTTTAAAAATAAATAAATTATTCGTGAGAGACACAGAGAAGCAGAGACATAGGCAGAGGGAGAAGCAGGCTCCCTTTGGGGAGCCCTATGTGGGACTCAATCCCACGACCCTAGGATCACGACCTGAGCCAAAGGCAGATGCTCAACCATGAGCCCCCCAGGCATCCCTCAATGTATTTTAAAAGAAAGGAAGACAAGGAGTTACTTTTATATACTGATTCCCAGTGCTAGACCAAAATCTAATTCAGTGTCAAATCAACAGGAGAACTCTTTCTGCCTCCCACTTCCTTACTCCCTTCACCCACCCACCCAGCTGCCAACAAAATAAATAACTTTAAAAAAAAAAAAATAGGTCTTGAGTGGAAATCAGTGAAGGAGCTCCTGCCAGGGAATCACTATGTATATGCATGTGTATACATGTGCATGGGATGTACATATATATGTAGAAGAAGGGACTGAACAAGCACCCAACTCAATATGATTATAAGCCCGCACCCCCCGCACTCCCAAATTCAAGATTCTAAAGCCCTCTGTTAAGTGGGCTGGTAGAAGTAGAGCCAGCGTATTTTATGAAGTTTTGTAAATAAGATCTTTCTTTCTTTTTTTTTTTTTTTGAAGATTTTATTTATTCATGAGAGACAGAGAGAGAGAGGCAGAGACACCGGCAGAGGGAGAAGCAGGCTCCTTGCAGGGAGCCTGACGTGTGGGACTCAATCCCTGGTCTCCAGGATCGTGCCCTAGGCTGAAGGCGGCGCTAAACCGCTGAGCCACCTGGGCTGTCCCCCGACCCTTTTTTTTTTTTTAAGACTTTATTTATTCATGAGAGACACCGAGAGAGGCAGCGACACAGGCAGAGGGAGAAGCAAGGATCTTTCATTTAGCAAATGCTAGCTAGGTTCATTCCTCACTCAGAGGAATTTTTCCACGAAACCTGCCACCAGAATTGTGTTTTTGTGTTTTCATTTTTCCTGCCCAGGTGCAGAAGGGGAGGAAAGTGGGAAAATCAGAAAAAAAAAAAATAGGAAAAGATGCAAGGAGTCTAGAAAATTGTTCCTAGAATAATCATATATGCAAATATTAACTTCAGACATAACCTGAAAACTTTCTAATTTAAAAAATTAAGGTTAAAGAGGGCAGAATGCTTTTCAAGGTTCTAAATATTGGCAGCAAGGCTTAAAATAGAGCCTTATTTGACTTATCACTGCTGGCTTGGACACTGGTTGGCATCAGCAAAAGCAAATCTCCTTGCAAAAATTAGTATAAGATTAGCCAACTATTATCAAATGACTTGTGTAGATAGTCTCAGCATTCTGCTAGGTGCTAAGAAACTCCTAAAGAACTAAAGATCATTGCCTTTACTTTGAGAAATTTTATTATCTATTTTGATACTTTCAAATGTGTTTTGTTGTTTGCTCTATTTTTAATTTTTTTTATTTTTTTTTATTTTATTTTTTTTTAAATATTTATTTATGTATGATAGACACAGAGAGAGAAAGAGGCAGAGACATAGGCAGAGGAAGAAGCAGGCTCCATGCACCGGGAGCCCGATGTGGGACTCGATCCCGGGTCTCCAGGATCACGCCCTGGGCCAAAGGCAGGCGCTAAACCTCTGCACCACCCAAGGATCCCATTTGCTCTATTTTTTAAATGTGGGATCTTCAATTGGGAGACCAGTTAATAAGTGGAGAGTCCCCTTTCTATCCATCTCCCAGTGATGTTAACTGTCAGAGTAGGACAGTGAATATATTAATAAAGGAATACAAACATACATAAACAAAACAGTGTAAGCAAACGTAGAAACTGGAACCTGACTTTTAAAAAAGTCCCATCCCATCTTCCTTATTTTACAAATGAAGCACAGAGAGCTATGCTTCAGGTCACAGAACTAGATAATATTAACTGAATAACCTCTTTGTAGGCTAACTTCCAGCAGTCTGTATACTTCATTTCATGCTCACTCAAACAATATCTTACTAAACGATATCTTTTTAACTTTTTTAATAACTCAAAGGGCTGGAGTTTGCTAGTAGAGATAAAGAGAAAGAAGAAAAGAAGGAAATGGTGAGAGAAGAGTCTGTCTTCCCTGGCAGAGGCTATTTCAGTTGACCTTTTGCATCTGAGCATCTCCTTTGCCAAGACGACAGCACTGTTTTGTAATGAGTCTGGTTCCTCTTTCTCACATGGCTTCAAGATTTGATCTTTGGTATCTCACACTGCCTCTGGTGGTGGAAACCCTCAAAAAATTATGAATCTGGGGTGCCTGGGTGGCTCAGTTAAAGGTCTCAGGTCATGATCTCGGGGTCAAGCCCCACATCAGGCTCTCTGCTAAGCAGAGAGCCCCGCCACTTGTGCATGCATTTTCTCTCTCTCTCTTTCTAATAAATATTAAGAATAAATAATCTTTTTAAAAAATTACAGATCTGTAACCCTGGATAGCAGTCATCATTTCACGTTATCAGATGTTTAGAAAAGCGCCCCACTGGCCAAATATATCAAGCGTCACCTTTCGTGTAGAATAGCTCACTTTTGTGAATGTATCAAAAGATAGTAAATAGAATAGTGGAACAATACATCTTTTGTAAAGTTATGTTCAATACTCTGACTTAATATTGCCATAGCGCCTATGGTAGAGCTTTACCGCACAGCACTGTTTTATTCTCTAAATGATGAGAAAAATAAATGAATTTTTCTTAGTGTGAGAATGCTGACTCTGGTTTTTCTTAACTGCTGACTAATGCTATTTCTCCATAATGTTAAGACAATTGAAAGTGCTACTATAGATATTAACACTAGAGGGTTTTTTTAATGAAAATAATTTTATTTCCTTTTTTTTTTAAGATTTTTTTATTCAGTTGAGAGAAAGCATGAGCAGGGTGAGGGACAGAGGGAGAGTGAGAAGCAGACTCCCCACTGAACTGGGGGCCCGATGTGGGGCTTGATCCTAAGACCTGGAGGTAGGCAGATGCTTAACTGACTGAGCCACCCAGGCTCCCCACAATTTTACTTCTCTTAAATTATTTTTAAAAGAACTGCTATTAGAGATCATCTGATTTACTTTTATTAGCCTGTTGTACAATATAAGTATTCCTACTTCTTTTAAAGGAAAATATAAGCATTTACTGAAGATATACTAAATTGCCACCTGTAAATTCTTAAAGTCTCTAGGAATAATTTGTAAATTTTTGCTTTCCTTATAATTAAGCATGATGTATGTATTCATGTAAAAATAGTTATTGACTTCTAGTCTGTTAATCTATTATATGTGCTTAAGAATTAATTTATGTTACAACTCTTAAGTGATATTCTAAGGAGCCAAAAAAATTGTATTTTGCATGTATCATTGAGCTATGTATATATGTATATGTATATAGAGAGAGTATTTGAGAAATTGAGTATTGATCCTTCATATGTCCTTTTAAAAATTAGCAGTATCTGGCATGAATAATTAAATGTATTTAATGTTTTTTTCAAAGGGGACAAGCCTAAACAGGAAGTATAACAGGAAGACTGACAGGTTCTGCTTTTGTCTTTTAGTATCTTCTGATAGTATCATTTCCTGCTAAGTAAGTTTACTTACTGCAGAGTATTTAAACACTAATGTGACCGTGATCCCACTCACAGAGGGAGTGGAGTGAGCCCATTTAAACCTATCTTATCACACTGATTTTCTTCTTTGAGCTTTCATCATGCAGACAACCAGGAGATGGGCAGAAATATTCTACACAAATTCTTAATCAGACTTGAAGTAGGCATTTTGGGGGCAAGAGCTGCATTCCTGTAGAACTACTTCTGTCCAGCTCCACCTCCTTGGGCCTGTGCTCTGTATAAAAGAACCAGACCCATCAGCCTTACAGAGGTGCCAGCTAGAGCACATTTGCAAAGGTTTAAGTCTGTGTTAAATCTGGTTCTCCCTCTGATTCCTTCTCTTATCAGAGATATGCAGTGTGATGGTGGCTTCATGGCAGCTTGTTTTAGCGTGTGTTCAGGTTGTCCTGAGTGCTCTCTGGTCTTATCATTGTACCGGCTTGTCCCAAACAGTAGGTTTGGGAAAGTGAGAACTCATTTTCCTTCTTAGTACCCTAGTATAATTATTTCTGCATCCGTCCCTGAAATACCGATAGCTCCTGCTTCCCCAGCTGTTAAACGTGGAAAAGTCACACTTGAGAAAGCAGCTGATACATCACTTGACCACAGGCGAAGTTTACCACACACTTCACTAAACATTGTTCTTAGGAAGCATACTAATTTCAACATAATGAGGAGTCTTTTTAAATAGATGTGTTCCTTCACTTTTAAGTGTCAGAAAATTGGCCTCAGTACTTCCAGAGTGTCCGTCTTACAACGGAAGCACCATCCGCACACACTATATTTGGGGGAATGGTTTTGTCTCATTTCCTGTGTCCTCTGTAGCCAGGGTAGTTGGCGGTGCTGGCAGCATGCAAATAGTTAAGCATGTGTTAAGGAAACAAGCAGCCTCAGCCCTCCCTCCTCTTTCTCAACCAGTCCCTGGCTTCCTCTTACTGCTTCTCTAATGGCAGCTCGAAGCTGCTGAGCTCTGCCCTGCGGCATGAGCCCCTCCTTCTGTGAGAGCACGTTTCCTGGCATGGGGGTCGAATCATGTCGGTAAAATGGGCTCGGTTTCATGAAGTACCCCTCATAACAGTGAGACTCATAGGACCAAAACATGGGGAGGTAAGAGCCTAACTTCTTTAAAGCACTAAATTCTAATAAACACAGAGACAATGGGAATTTATTGTTTTGTTTTTATCCTTGGAAGAACTAGTTGGGATTACTGCAAAGGATGAGGGTATTATTTATTCAGATTGGATGAGCATTGTGAGGCTTGAGAGAACAGAACATTAGTTGCCACAGAAGATTTTTTTCAACTCTTGGAGCATATTTAGCTTTCTCCAGCAAAGAGACAGAAGCTTTTTAGTTTAACAACTAAACTTGTGCATGGAGAAGCCTGCAGCAAAATTTAGTTAAGAGAGCAATTATCTGAAAAAAATTCTACTTTTTATTGTTATTAGATTATTACCTACTTTAGCGGTTACTGATCATCACTCAGAACAGTTTCCTGTTTTGTAAAGTGAGATGCTTTGTATTTCTCCCTCTTTTCTTAATTTTTCTAGTTCTAAAATGTGGCAATTTGGTTCTTAGATTTTTATTAGATGTATTCTGTTAACCAAGGACTGTACGTGAATCAGACTTCTTAATCACTCACCAGTTCAATACAGTGCATGGGCCCTGCATTAGGAAGTCTAGAGACCTGATTTGTTGACTGCCGATGTAACCTTTTGTGAGCCAACACACCTCGCCAGTCCTTGGCAGTAGAGTATAGGGAATGACAGTGGAGCTTTTGGAGTCGGCCAGATCTGGATCTTAGTTCCCACACAAGCACTTACTGGCCTGTGGCCTCAGATACAATATTCAGCATCTCTGAGCCTTAGTCTCCTCAAATGTGTGCTAAAGATAATAACTAGCACTTACTTCATTGGGTTGTTAGGAGAAAATACGTGTAAGTTGCCTGCTGCTGTGCTTGGCACATAGCAGCTGTTCAGAATCATAGCTGATGTTTATCATTGTAATCTTCTCAGTTGTACAGTGGGAAGCATGATGCCTACCCTGCCTGCTTCAGAGTTACAAAGGCAGATGCAGTAACATACATAGAAGGTATTGATTCAAGTGTAAGGTGTTTAGTAGTTGTCATGATCACAAACTTAAGGGAGGCCCATTTTGCAGGAATTTTTTTAGATTACAACAATATTTGTGAATGTGGGGAACAGTTAATGTTTCCTGCTGTCCCATCGTCTTCCCTTTCCCCCAGGCTGATCCGAGAATGGCTCCAACCTTTCTGCTCCCTACTAGCAGCTGGCCCTCACCTTGGTGCTTGCTTGGTCCATGGGTCATGGTTGGGCTTGCTGAGAAGGGTTCATGGCCACCCCAGAGTCTTCTCCTCCCGTTCCAGAAAGTTCTTCCCAGTGTTTGTCCTGGGATGTTTTGTCCATCAGTGTAAACACTGCTGAGCAAGCCACCAACAGAACTGCCTAGTCTGCCTGGTCTTTCTGTAGCATTTCTAATATATCTTGAATGCTCACAACTTACAAAAACCACTGTTTAGGACCATGCTGCTAACTATCATCCAAAACGTTCACCACCACCCACTGTTGACCCCCTGCCACCTGGGTGCCCAGGTAAGAGGGGGCTACCTGGTGTTCAGTTAACTGTTGGTTCTTTTCTTTGGCAGGAAAAGGAAAAAGAGAAAGAGAAAATCAAGGAGAAGGAGAAAGATTTGAAGGAGAAGGACAAGAAGACCATCAACGGGCACACTTTCAGTCCCATTCCTGTTGTGGGTCCAATCAGCTGTAGCCAGTGCGTGAAGCCTTTTACCAGCAAGGATGCCTACACGTGTGCAGGTAAGCAACACACCTCTTCCTGTGAGGCACAGTGCTCTTGGCTCAGGATGGCTCATTCTAGGTTTCCCATCCATTCACCCTGTGTCCCTTCCTGGTGTGTGTGGAAAGGTCAGCCTATCATGTCTGCTTTTAAACATCCTGTATATCATCAATTCTAGATGTAGAACATACAGCTTGTACATTTTTACTGAGAGACCCAATTTGTTAGATTCTCTTCTCTTGTCCCTAAGCCCCTGCGTGTCCCAGAAGTCTGTGTCAGCATCGAACAGGCGTCCTAGCCTCATACCCTAAAGCTATGCAGCAGCCCTTATGGTCAGGCCCTAAGTGTTCATTGTTTACTCTGGGACTTGGGTGGATACTTCAGCCATTTACCAACATCAGGTCATGGTGATTGCCAAGGGAAAGTACTTTCATGTGCAGAGATGTCCCACGCTGGCCTATTGCTGACCTGCTTAAAACCACCTTAAAGCCAAGTCTGTTAACTAAGCCCAGTTCCTGATTTTGATAAGGTACTCTGAGGCAGAAGATGGCTGGAGTGTTTCATCAAGGACCACTCGCAGATAATCTTTAACTCCGTGGGCTGGATGCTCCCTGCACAATACTGAGCTCTGCCATTATTGTGCAGAGGCAGCCGAGGCATACTGAGCTCTGCCATTATTGTACAGAGGCAGACCAGGGAACATGGCTGTGTTCCAATACAAGTTCACTGATAGCCAGTGAAACTGAAATCTCATGTGATTTTCATGTGTCATAAAATATATTTTTTCCAATCTTTTAAAAATGTCAAAATCGTTTGTAGTATATGGGCCTTACAGAAATAGGTATGAGAGGGATCTGGCCCACAGACTCTGCTTTAAGGCACTTGTCTCAAAAACACTGTTGTTGGATAGATGGAAGGTAGAGATACTTGCAGCACACCCCAAGGTGAATCAGTGAGGCTGCTCGTGGCCAGAAGCAACCAGTCTGAAGATCCATTCTCCCAGGAGGCTGAGGTTATTGGCACTGTGTGGCACCTATAACCACGTCAGACAGTGTGTGATTGAGACGATTGTGACATGGTCTTGTTTTCAGTCATTTGTGTGGAGGGTCCCAAGTGACTTGTTACCAGAAATAATTAACTTCCTGGAATTTGAAGTTTTTGTAAGCTTATTTGAGCAGACTCAGACCTACTGCAAAAATGATTTCCCCTCATTCACTCTTGAGTCAGAGTCAGGCTAGCACACAACCCACAGTCCAGCTTGTCGGTACCACAGCTGTCATGACTTTTTGAATGACTGGCTTTATCATCAGTCTTTTAAGATGACTTTTGTGGATATATTCTATACCAAATGTTGTCTGCAGCCCTATTTGTTGTATTGTCCTTTTTTTTTTTTTTTTTAAGATTTTATTTATCCATTCATGAGAGACAGAGAGAGAGAGAGGCAGAGACACAGGCAGAGGGAGAAGCAGGCTCCACTCAGGGAGCCCGACATGGGACTCTATCCCAGGTCTCCAGGATCACGACCTGGGCCGAAGGTGGTGCTAAACTGCTGAGCCACCCAGGCTGCCCTGTTGTATTGTCCTTTAAAAAAAAAAAAAAAAAATACCTTGTGGGAGGAGCTCTTGTCAAAACCTTTATGCACCCCTGGGGACAAATGTCACACATTTATGTCCTCCATGTGAGACTCACCAGGAAATGGAATGTTCCAGTGTAGTGGTAAGTTTATGTGACCTCTAGGAAACAAGAGGCCACCACTGTCTATTGACTGCTCCATGTTTATTTTGGGGCCCAGGTTCTGTTAGGCTCTTCCCTGGGACACCAGTTGAATGTCCTGTGGTTAGTTCTTTAGCCATTTGACCCAGCTCCTTGGTTCTGAGGGACTTGGTTGCCTAGGGTAGTAGTCACCCAGCACTATGTAGTATGTTCATGTATCATTAAAACATTTGTAGCCTACTTGCACAGGATATATGTAGTTAATGCAAGAATTACATACTTGACCTATCCTATACTGCCAAAGAGCTCATCCTATGCTAAAGAGCAGCAAGGAGACTTGCCTCCTCCCAAGACTCTAGTGAGAATTCTGCATCATATATAACCTGGAGTCCAAATTCACACCATCCATACTCCAAACTAAGAAATTTTCACAAGCAGTTGAATGAAATCCCAATCTGAGAATGATCAAACCCTAAGGAACCTCAGCTGAAACACATACAGACCTATACCACAGGATCACTTTGACAAAACAGGCTATCTAGAGGTTCGTATGAGGGGAAAAGCGGTCCTATTAAAGCTGAAGCTTAGCTTACAATTAAAAATACACGGGCCCCTGCTTGACTCAGTTGGTTGAGTATCTCACTCTTGATTTCAGCTCAGGTCATGATCTCAGGGTCATGGGATGAAGCCCCTCATCAGTCTTTGCACTGGTTGAGGAGCATGCTTGGGATTTTCTCTCTTCCCTCCCCTGCAGCCCCTCCCCATAGTCACTCTCGTTCTATCTGTCTGTCTTAAATAAATTAAAAAAAAAAAAAAAAAGACACTACGTAAGGAAGTAAACCACCATGAGGAAGTTAGCAAATGCATAGACAGGTAAAGATGTTGAGGATTATTAAGAGGCTAAAATGAATAGAATTTCTGATGAAAAAAAAGCACAGCTAAGGGGTAGATTTGAAAAATAATTGAATAAAATTTCAGGAATAAAAATATTCCCCGGAAGGATCTTCGTGGAGATTTTTTCAGACACATCTGCATTCTGCACTATCACTGGACTGTTGTGATTTCTGTTTGTTTACAAAGGAGAAAATGACTTCCACTCTGTCACCTGCTTTAGGAAAGGGAAAGCTGGGTGAATATTCTAGGAACTCTTATGACTGCAGACTGACTTTATTTTTTACATTTAACCATCAGTAGTTATGAATTTGAGTTCCTTCTCTTAAGTGAAATTCGTTAACACAGACCAGTTACCTCTGCAGAGTGCTGTGTTTGGTATTTTGGTTCATTCAGAAGCCATTGGTCAGGAAGTATTTATTGAGCAGCAGTTTGTGCCAGGCACCTTTTTTTCCCCAACTGAATATGTTTGACGTATAACATTGTGTAAAGATAAGATGTGCAAACACATTAATAGATTTATATATTGTAATGTGATTGCCATTGTAGCAATATTCAGCACTTCTGTCACATTACGTATTTGTCCTTTCTTTCCAACAGTTAAAATAATGAGTGGCACCTTTCTCAAGCTGCTTACAAAGCAGCTTTTGAGAAGAGTTCTGAAAGTATAAACCTTGGGGGAAGCCTGGGTGGCTCAGCAGTTGACTGCCTGCCTTCTGCCCAGGGAGTGATCCTGGAGTCCCAGGATTGAGTCCCACGTCGGGCTCCCTGCATGGAGCCTGCTTCTCCCTCTGCCTGTCTCTGCGCCTCTCTCTCTCTCCTCTCTCTCTCTCCTCTCTCTCAAATAAATAAAATATTTTTAAAAATAAATAAATAAAAATATGAACCTTGGTACCTACTCATTGCAGTATTATTTGAAATGTGGAAGAATTTAAAGAAACTAAATATGCATCAATAAGATACTGTATATTCATTAGATGAAATTTGGAGCTGATACTAAAAAAGAATAGACCAAGGGTCAGCTGGCTCTTTCTGTAGAGGAACTGGCAGAAAATGTGCTAGGCTTTGCAGATCTTTGTTGTGGCTGCTCAACTCTGCCCGTGGAGCACAGAAGCAGCCCTAGACAAGACAGAAAAAGTGAATGTAGCTATGTTCTGTGAAAGTATTCACAAAATGGCTATGGGCTGAATTCAGCCCACAGACCACATTTGCCAGTGCCTGGGATAGCTCTGCAGATACAAACAGATCTCCAAGGCACTTTGATAAGTTGAAAAGACAATAAGGACTGTATGTGTGATCTGAATTTACAGAAAACAAGTGAACAGTCATTGTTAATGTAAATATGCAAGAATATTTAAAAGGATGTACCCCAAACTGTTCACAATTTAAAGGAAGAGACAAGAGATCAGGGAGACTTAAATTTTTATTTTATTCTCTTGTCTTTGAGTCTTTGAAGACTGTACTTACATATTGGTGGTATGAGCAGAAACGAAATGTGAACCTTGGATCACTGATAACTTTAAGGGAGTTTCTGGTTGTCAGCTGAACTCTGATGAAAGAACAAAATATGTTGATATTTGATTCAGGAACTTCATGGACAAAGAGCAAAATGATACCAGAAAACAGCTTGACAGAAGACTCAGGAGTTGCTCTTTGACTGTTAACTGACAGCACCTGCTTCGAATAAGAAGCAGTGTAGTTGATTCTACAAACTCTCAGTACTGAAATGTGATGTGAAATAATACCAAGGAGTTAGGGACAAAAGAGATGGCAAATCTTCTTTGAAGTAAGACCCAAAGAATCTTTTCCTTTGTCCTGTAGGAAAGAGTGAAAACCATTGGTTTGTGGTTATAGTAGTTGGATGACTCCTGCCATGACTGGCTCCAGACAACTTTTCAATTTAAATTCTGATTGAAAAGGATGGTCTGGTTTATATTCAGTAAATGTTTTATCTTATAGTGCCATTGGTTTTTAATACACATTTTTTCTAGATTAAAGCAATTGAATTTTACCCTCCTTGGCTATACTAATTCTTAGCCTACATTAGACTATAATGACTCAGAATTAAACCTGCAGCTGGCACAGGATTGATTTATCAGATAGCAGAAATATCTGCTGTAATGTAGCAGAATGCACTTTTTTTAACCACAGGTGTCCTGAGCCCTTTTTTCTTTTTTCGATATCTCTTCCTGTTAAACATAAATAGAATTTCTCTTTTGCTGGGCTTCCACAGCCAGTCTGCCTAGACTGGGGAACTGCTCACACTGTTTGGAATAGTGTGCGCTAGGATTAGAAGAAGAAGAGGGTCTGAGACATCTCTTGGAAACTTCTGTGGCCTAAGGACACCAGAGCAACCCATGTAGAATCATTTGTGTGGGTTCTGGTACTGACAAGGAAAAACTATAAATGTAGGAGA